AATAAGCCATAAAACAATGTTGATTAAAATCGACCGATAGGCTAATGGCTATTCCCGTTTGGTATATCATAATGTATATGGCCGTAAGCGCTATTTGAAATTAACCAAAATTTACTGGAAGCACCGGGAAATGTTTTAATATTCAATTTTTCTCGAAAGCAGAAGTGTTCTTTGGGTAAGTTTTTAGTGCTAATAATACAACCACAGGATAATCAAAATATATCAACATTGTAAAGAATCACTATCCAGCCAATTTTCAAAATTTCCCAAAACTTTGTATTACCTTTAAGAAACCAAATAAGGGTTCGAATTCGAATGAGATACAGAGAGGGAAAAGAGAAGGGGGGGGGGGCTAAGGCAATTTGGGAATTAAAGAGAATTACAATTAGGGAAGTACTTGTATGGTAGAAAGAGAGATTAGTAGGATATTGTGATATCAAGAATTGAAGTTGAACAGTAATTGGTTAATCATGTTATATAGAGAGAAAGAGAGAGAGAGAGAGAGAGAGAGAGAGAGAGAGAGAGAGAGAGAGAGAGAGAGAGAGAGAAGGGGGAGGGAGGGGGCTATGAGTGAAGAACACACATAATTAAAGTTTCAGGAATGTAAAATACAACAGTTATTTAAACAAAAACAGATTTAACGCATAACATTAGAGGTGGAAGAAAGAGCTATCGATGAATATAAGTGGAGAAAACAAAATATTTGTGAAGGAGTGGAATAAAATAAGGATTAGAGAGAGAGAGAGAGAGAGAGAGAGAGGGTGGGAGTCTAGATGACGGGGGAAGTTCGGAAACATACAAAGGAACTGTAAAAACAGAAGAAAAAATAATAGAGAACAACAATCTATGACCTGATATTTTATTACGCCCATACAACTTCTTGGCTGAAAGAAGGGATTAAAAAGATAAAGATTTTCCCGGGAGAAAAGGGGATCTGACTTTTCTAACGCCTAGATTTTTGTTTTCGTTCTTGACTGTCATTATTAATACTTAGATATACTATATGCAGACGTAAAATGTAAAGAATTGATGAATGTAAATTAACATAAATTAGCAAATGTTGGTTCGTCTTTCATTCAACGTATCCCAGTTAAATATGGAGAAAAATATTTACAAAATCCAAACAAATGAATGAATAAATTAATCGTTGGAAATCGTGTTCTCATGAAAAAAGACATCTTATGAGTCCCTTTCCAGTAACGACATTAAAATACAATTTATATTAAAAATTAAAAATTCTTTTTATAGATACATTTACAGAAACAAGAGATGGCAATTAACGATTACGCCTTTCCAGCTTAAAATTAATATGATATGTTTCTTGAAACAAGTGTTTCTGATTCACATTTGTCCAGAAGAATTTAAACAAGATTATTATCTACTTTTAATGAGTCGAAATAGTTGATAATTGATATACTGTATCGTGTTGCTTGTCCATTCATGGCGTTTGCAATTCACAGCACGTGCTTCTTGAAAACAGTTCCATTTCAACTTCTTGACTTTAAGAAGACTGTTTTCTAGAAATTAATTCGTGGATATTGAAGAGGTGGTTTCTTTGGATGAAATGGACTATTCTTCAACGATTTATTTTATGATGTTTGTTGGTGTACTTCAATGCGCAGGTAAGCTCAGTTGTTCTGATATCATAATACAGGATAAAGCAATTTAGATGACCAACATGACAACGAAAGGCATTACATTTTTGGTCAATTTTGTCCTCTTTTCATCATTCAACTATCGCTTTTATTCAGAGTACCTTTAGTGTAGGTAATATCATAAAATACTCTCTGTATCCTTACTGTTATAAGACTATCATTACCATCATAAAATTGTATATTGATATTTTAAAAATTATTATCTTGATACTTACCATGTTGATATATGTTATCATTATTATTATTGTTGTTGTTATTATATATATTATTATTATCATTAACATTATTATTATTAGTAGTAGTATTATTGTTATAATAATTAACATCGTAATTGATGTTATCATTATTATTAGTATATATTAATCCATATTACCATTGTCGTTATACTAACATCAACATTATCATTGTTATTAAAATCATTTACAATAACAACAAAATTACTTCAACGACAACAGCTACTACTACGACTACTACTACAACTACTAATACTACTACTACTACTACTACTACTACTACTACTACTACTACTACTACTACTACTATTAAATCCATGCAAAATACATATCCTCCTTCCTCTTCCAAAATCGCCCCCTGGATAATTCTAATTCAACTTTTGATTTCCCACACGGGGGTGTTTCACAAAGATCATAAGTCGAACTTCACTTTAAGTTCGACTTAAAATTTATGGAGAGCCATTTGTAGTCTTAAAATAAAATGTTCTCAAAAGCAAAAATTCAAGTATTTTAGACTTTTCATAAATTCCACATCAAGAACATGAAATCTACTTGATAATATAAAACATGAATGATTTGAATCGACCTTTTTATGCCTTTTAAAATAGCTTTACGAAATATTTTCTAAGATCCTAACGGTTTTCCATAATTGTTCAGTCAAACTTAGAGTTAAGTTCGACATAGGATCTTTGTGAAACACGCCCCTGTACATGGATTCTTGAATCTTGATCAATTAAAAGTTAAGTCCTGAAGACAGGAAGCAGTAAGTTACTTCAATCTGTCAACTATGCTCAACTAGAATGTGATAACTATGATAACAGTGTGATGATTATCCTCTTCCTTCTCAAATAGGAATCTTCATATTAATTTTTCACTCCTCATGCGAGAGGAAAATTGTTTGAGAATAAAAATTAATTGTGCGCGGCAGGGGCGGCGATTTATTTTCATAACCGGAGGAGGGGGGGGGGCGAAATACAAGATTTTCTACAATATTTACCTGTCCAGTTTGAAGGATATTATGCGAGGGAGCATAGCGACCGATCGAGAATTTTTTTTTTTTTTTTTTTTGGGGGGGGGGGCACTTTTTTCAAATTTTCCTGGGGAGGGGGGACGATCTCCCCTAAAATAAGAGGGGGACGTGTTCCCTCCCCCCGATCGCCGCCCCTGGTTTGCGGACTCTTATTCAACCAGCGGCTGTTTTCGTCTTTGAAAAGATTTAATTGATAACATAACATTATGTACTGTGCCTCGTATTTCGATACTTTTAATTCTCTCTCTGTCTCTCTGTCTCTCTCTCTGTCTCTCTCTCTGTCTCTCTCCCCCTCTCTCTCTCTCTGTCTCTCTGTCTCTCTCTCTCTCTGTCTCTCTCTCTCCTTCCCTCTCTGGTCAAGCTTGATTAACTATATCAAATAACAACGACCAACATATTCTGCTGGTGTTGTCTGCCTGGAAAAAAATTATTTACCGGTTCAGTCTTTGCCGGGAAAAAAGAGTTGTTTATCACTTAATAAATTCAAAACCTTCAAATAGACAAAATTGACCTGATTGGTTGGAAATCATGATCTTTTGACACTTAAAAATATGATATGATGACACATGTATAGACCTTGTGCTATATGGATTGACCTCTCTGCATGGCTCTCCCCAATTTTATCATTCAATTTAATCATGCAAGGCCTTGTATATCCTTTCATAACAATCTGTATCACATTACGCATATTCATTACAATGGCCCGTACATTTTACATTTAGTGTTTAATGTTTCATGATAAAAACACTAATTTCTTCAACCATGAATTTAATCTTTTTCTACCTTTCTATGCTCATTACCCAGCCCGTATACATTTTCTACCAAAATCGTTTGGCACATGTCATTTATTTGTAATCTTGAACATTCACTGTAAGTTTTGTTGGATTCTGTGAGAATTTATTTTCTATCATTACCAGAACTCAAGCTTATCTTGAATATGAGGGTGGACTGTGATATGGTGTAATGTTGAAGCCTTAAAAAAACATCACGCTTCAAAAATATCAAGAAGTGCCTCAACTAAATAGTAAAAATCTTTGAGTGACCGGTTTTACCATACTCGTTTTTCCCAATAGACTGTAGTGTTACGAAAACCGTTTGGCAAACGCAAAATTTGGTTTCGATTTCCAATCATAAATATCTTCATAATCAGACGGGCGATCGGCTTGTAAAAGTCATAGAGTTCCTGACTGACCTAAAGGTTTATAATTATCATTGCAGCATGAGCTACATCCAGGATTTTGTTTCAGAATCTGAGACAAAGTTACCGGATCCCTTTAAAGGTAAAGACCAGTATTGGAAACGCCCCAATTTCAAAAAAATGAAATGGAAGCTCTCATTACCAATCATGTGAAAGAATATGTTTTGACTAATACATGATGATAAAAAATTTGGCGGGAAACCGCCTACTAATTCATATATTTGGTAAATTTATTTCTCTCATGGTCTGTGAGAGATATAGGGTTGTCCCATATACATCTTTCTGTGTCTAGTGCTTGTAACTTTACGAAGAATGGGCCAAATTTCTTATCATTTTGATGATTCCAGAACCTTGCAGATGCTAGATGCTAGATGATCAACCTTTTCTGATCGAGTCCACAACGTTTCTTTCACAATGCAATCGCATGACCATAACTGGTCTTTACCTTTAACATCAAATCCCTTTTCTTGTCAAATGAAGCTCGTCCGATGAACATATCAACGTGGATGGGATTGCTACACGATGGTATCCTCGATTCATCCATCACCGCGTCATCCTGCTTGGATGCTTACTCATGCGTGACGAGGTCTCGCCTAAATACCATGGCAACCAAGATGTATCGAGGGGCGTGGCTACCTCGAGTAGCGGACGAAAATCAATGGATTCAAGTATGAATGGTTATCATTTCATGAAAAATTATTAGCTTATCGATTTATGGATTGGTGTATTCAATAATCAATGATATTTTGATGTAGAGGTGTCGTATAGTCGAGTGGTTTAAGCATTAGACCTGAAAAGCACGACACTAAAGTCTAAAGTCATTTGGCAGGCATTAATCTACATATACCACTCCAAACCCACGAGAGAAATGTAGACCTGCCAGGATGACGAAAGCCTTTGTGTTAGTAATTGCAATATGCCCTTACGGTGACCGTATGGGCTTCTTGATGCAGAGTTCAAGGCAGTGAGTCTTATTTTACAAAATTGAAGTAACAAGTCGATATGTCTTCTATCCATTTCTTCCTTCTCCGCCTATCTGATTGTCGTTTGCACTGTCATTTTAATTTCTCTCTCTCTCCCTCTCTCTCTCTCTCTCTCTCTCTCTCTCTTTCTCTCCATCTCTTTCCCCCCTCTCTCTCTTTCTCTCTCTCTTTCTCTCTATCTCTTTCTCTCTCTCTCTTTCTCTCCCTAACTTCTCCCCCCCCCCCTTCTCAACTACACTCCCTTTTACGTTACGCCCTTCTAAACCCCTCTCGCGATCTGTTCCGCATGCGATATTTTCTCTTTCCCCGTTTTAAATGAATCATATTTTAACATTTCCGTTTTGACTTTCTTGCTCTTGTCTCGCTTACAACCATCGCCTACTCTTCGTTATGACGTCATCAACACTCCGCAGGTTGATTTCACGGGTAAATATCAGGTGATCGGTGTCATTACACAGGGTGAAGACGGAGGTCATGCCTTTGTGACGTCATACCTGGTATCCCACAGCAGTGACGGCTTGACTTGGATACCGGTATTTAGTCTCCAGCAAGGACGGGTAATGTCATGCACTTTACAATCATATTCATATACTAAGAGTTAACAACCAACAGTTGCACATGTTTACATCAATGATACGCAATAACACACAAACGTAAAGGACAAGTCTACTCCAAAAACATCTTACTTACAATAGAAGCAATTTGACAAACCAATCAAAACAAGTTTGAGCAAAATTTAGATAACTAATAAGAAAATTATGAATTTTTACTGAAATGAAAATCTTTGAAAATCCCAAAACAAATTGGCAACTCACTCATGAGTCTGTGACGTCATTGCCTCACTATCCACTAATTGTTTTCCTCACACCAGCATCCAAGTGTGAGTGAATGCCCTGCACGCAATAAGATAACAATCATATAACCTGGGCAAGTTTTGTGGGATAAAAAGGGAAATTAATGAGATAAAAATAAATAAAGCAATTGATAAATAGATAGTGAGGCAATGACGTCACAAACTAATAACCAAATCAGCGTTGTTAGAAATGTTTAGAATATGAAGGCATTTGAAGAGCTATGCTTTTCAGGGAACAATTTTTTCTCTGATGTTCTTCCACACTTGCATAATAGCAATGATAACGCTCACAAATTGTTTGTCACCACTTCCCATAACTCGATCATACATTTTAGGACAGATGTGTCGGTCTGATGGATTTTATGAATTTTCGTCTATGACATAATAAAAACTATCAACACTAATCATCATTTATTTGTATTATCATTAATTGACGAGACAAAATAATTACTATTGTTATTATTGTTGGCTGTCTTCTTATTATCGCCACTAAATATTGAACAAACAAACAAACGAGAAAACAAATCAAAATATTTCGTTATGCAACTTGTTGGAGTTGTTCTACAACTATTTTATCTGTTTTCTAAATAAATTTGTCATACAATAATTGCATGAAATGTTGTATAATAGCTTTCTATGATTACACTATTATATTAATAATAACACTGTATTCAAATGGCGAGTCCGGCCCATGTGTAAGTTGAATTGAATAAATAGAGAAAAAAATTAACAAAATAAACGATAAAAGTTTCATCAAAATCGGAAGGGAAAAAAAAGTAATTTGTGATTTCTTTAAGTTTTGCATAGTTTCATGAAACATTTATATGTATCACGTAGGCTGTATGCAAATTAGCGAGTTAATGGTGCCATCCCCTCACTTTTCTCTTTCCGTTTTGCAATTAAATTTAACACTTTCACTATGATAACACTTATTTGGTACCCCATTTAATAGTGTGATAATAATGTGTTCTAGACATTCAGCGGTAACTTTGACACGTCAACGCCTGTGGCGAACGAGTTTTCTCCACCCTTCGTAGCTCGCTTCGTGAGGCTCGAACCCCAAACCTGGCACAATTACATCGCTCTCAGGCTGGAATTCTACATCAAAGGACCCGTTGCAGGTAAGCCTTATAAAGCATTTTTCAAACTGACGTTTCTAATTGTAATAAATTAGAAAATCTTACACCAATGGCACCTTTTGACCTGGGACGCAGATTTTTCTTCTTTTAATTTTCTAGTTAAAATGGGGCAAACATTTTACTTCTATTAAAGTTCAAGACTTGGGTTGCAATTTGGTTGTAAGAATTTACAGTACTTCCATCGAATACTCATTCATGTGACGCGGGAATTCAGTTCTAAAGAGATTAATAATGGAGACTATACCGTGCGAGTTAAAAAAAAGTTTACACCTAGAAAATTGCTAATTATTTTAAAAATCATCTATGAACAGTAAATTATTATACATCTAATGAAAGAGCGTTTATTCCCAAATCATTTGATATCATTTTTGTGTGGTATATGTTCATGCTTGGATGAACAGGTGGCATTGTTTGCGAGAGTACAAAAATCGACTTGCGCCGAAGGGATGCCTACAGTATGTATTATGTTGGGATTAAAGTGAGAGAATGAATTGAATGTATCAAATGAGATGCATTGCATATGCCTTTTGCAGAAGCAAAGTCTCTCTCTCACACACACACACACACGCGCTCGCGCACAAATGTTCGTTGATATTTGATATTCGATATTTGATATGTGTGGCATGATTAATTTTGTTAGGGATGTTATGAATCTGCAATGACCGAATCAATAACCAAACCCAATTGTTTTATTCAAACATCACATAAGCAAACAATGCCTCCTGTTTATCCAAGCGTGAACACATACCACACAAAAATTATACCAAATGATTTGGGATAAAACACTTTTTCATAGGATGTATAATCATTTACTGTTCATAGATGATTTATAAAATAATTAGCAATTTTTTAGGTGTAAACTTTTTTTTGACTCACACTGTATAGAAGTCAGAATGTGGTGGATATAGGGGTCCATATTCGGTGTCTACTTTAATACGATATGTCACATTGGGTTTTGACGGGGAACTTCCACTTCCACCGCCCTTCATACCTGCTGAACTAATCCGCCACAGGTTATAGCTGTAAAAAAAATGAAAATAAAGATAAAATTAGTCGTGCGGCGGGTGACGAAAAATTTGCAAGTGAAGAAGAACAACCGTAGGAGAAGAAAAAAAAATCGGCTATAATATTAGGTCTAATTTGAAATTATACTCCAATTCTATCAATAAATAATAATAATAGTAATATGTCTTGTTTACATAGGGTAGCCTTATCAGTAGTATCACTGTTCTCCCTAAGGGCGCTGTAATCATATTACTATCAGAGCCATCTATACACAGAGTTTGGCCAACTTGATTTCACTGGGTCACTACATGGCCCATATTCTTTTGTTTTGTGCTTGCCCAACAAAGCAGTAGTCGCCATATTGTGTCCAACTCGAACCCGGGTCGGCCAAACTCTCCTAATCAATGGCACTGATTACTATGTTAATCATTTTCATTTTCACTTCTCATCGTAGATGCTATCGACACAGCCCGCCCTCTGGGGATGATGGACGGGCAGATTCCCGATGTCTTCATCTCCTCATCCTCTTGCCACTCTAAATATTTCTGCACACGGCACGCTCGTCTCAACTACCCATCAGCTAGCTGGTTGGCCAATAGGAACGATTATGAACAGTGGATCAAAGGTAGAGAAATAACGAAATTGATTAAGAATATAATTCTTATCTCAAAGGAGTAAAATTGAATATAACTGTCTTGCGAATGTCGACCTTTTGTCTGATATTTGCTTAGGATAACAAGTGATTAATTAATGTTGATATCATTATGATACGCAGGATGTTTTCCTAATAAAATAGTTGCTAAAATAAAATTTGATAACCTATTAAAGTTTCGGAACATGTTATCCTCAGTTTAAGTTTTCTCATTTTGTGTACGGATTGAACTGCTGATAAATTTTTATTTCGCTAATTTGCCATTTTTTAAAGAAAAAATGGTCCTGATTTACATATGCATTCAGCGGTAACTATCGGAACATTACCTCTGCTTTTGATCATCTCGTGATTATGATTTAAAATACAGTCGTTGTTTATTCTTTAGCTGACCTGCGCGCCGTGTACATAGTTCAAGGGGTCATCACGCAGGGTCAGCCAAACTTTGACCAATGGGTGACAAGCTTTACCATATCACACAGTCTAGACGGTAAAATATGGACCAAGGTCAAAGATCATTGCACAAGTGAAACCAAGGTAAGTTTTTTTGTCCCTTTTTCCGGTGACCGCCAAATTTTGCGTTCTTTAAAATAAACAAAATTACGCGCCTAATGCCCCATGCTATGATATCACACCCAAATATCACCCCTAAATTTACGCTTTCCCTTTTTTACAGAGTTTTGTTTTTTTCTTTGGTTCTGTCTAATGAAAGTAAAAAAAAACATGGTTTATAAAGGGGATATTTAAAAAAAAAAATCGCCTTTTCATTTATCAAAATATAAAAACAAGTTGGCTTTTCATGTGCATAACTATTTCCCTTTTCTTTTCTGCAGACGTTTGTCGGCAATCACGATAGCAGAACGCCGATCATCAACTTTTTCGATCGAGATTTTAAGGCACGATTAGTCCGCCTCGAACCCAAGTCATGGTACGGTCATATTTCTATGAGATTTGAGGTCATGGGCAAAGGACCAATCGCAGGTAAGATCCCCATTTAAAAAAACTCTACCGGTACCCAAGGGCTAACAAGAGCACACTTTCCTTGGGAAGGGGAAAGGGTGTAACGGAAAGGAGGGGGGGGGGGAGACTTGTCTTGCCTTCTTGCCTGAATATCAACATTCCAGTTTCTAAATTTCTAAAATATTAACACGTTAATGTAGTGAAAATTTAATTTATAGGAAAAAATATCGGATAAGATATCATATTTGCTGGCGCATGAGGTGATAGTTGCCCGAATATGTGGGGTTTTTTTTGGAGAGGGTTAGCAGCGGGGTAGCCCCTATATCTTACGACTATAACAGTACTTTAGCTATCTCCTTGTTTTCTTATTGGGAGTTGCATATCAAGATATCTTCTTCTTCTTCTTTTTCCATCTTTTTCCTTCTTCTTCTTCTTCTTCTTCTTCTTCTTCTTCTTCTTCTTCTTCTTCTTCTTCTTCTTCTTCTTCTTCTTCTTCTTCTTCTTCTTCTTCTTCTTCTTTTTTTTTTCTTCTTCTTCTTCTTCTTCTTCTTCTTCTTCTTCTTCTTCTTCTTCTTCTTCTTCTTCTTCTTCTTCTTCTTTTCTTCTAGTAATCTTCAAAGGTATATGCAGTCATTAACGAAACGAGAGCTAGGCGGAAAGCCAATATAAAATTCTATTATCATCTAAATTTGTAATTAAAAAAAAAAAAGTTTGATAGATGACCCTGGTTTTCACAAAGTTTATCTCCATTTCCTTGAACATTCAGAGCATATGTTTGAATCTATGGAGCTAGGAGTAGAGCATCGCCACGCCCGCCTCTACAGTATGACTGCATCTAGTTGCCATGACCACCGACATTGCGCAGACCATGCAAGGTTGAACCAAGCGAGCTGGAGTGCCGAACTCCGAGGCGCGTGGATGCCGAAAAGAGACGACAGAAAACAATGGGTGCAGGTAAAAGTTTGATCAATACGGGGATTAGTAGAACTGTTTATTAACATTTCTATTTTATGGATGTTTTTTTTTCTTCCTGGGGACCTATTGAGGAGGTAGTCCATTAAACTGAACTATACACCACTTGGAATCAACCTTGACGGATGCTATATCAGGCAAGCCTCAGGAAACACGGTTGTCAAAAACAACCTTTTATTAAAAAAACAGTATGCATACAATTTGAATATGTTAGTAAATCGGTCTTTTAACGTTTAACGTTTCCACACGCACGTAGCTGACAATGTGCTCCGCGGTAATTTCATTATTTTTGATATTATTTTTACTAGCCAAATTCCTAATTACATTTTTAGACCATACATGCCCCTAGCCCCAAACCCAGCCCTAACCTAAAGCAAACACAACCATAAAGATCTTTTAAGAAACAAAGTCAAATAAAATGTCACGAAAACGTCGGGTTACCTTAATATTTATGTTCCTGTGACATCAGAGAAAGAAACAAAAACCCGACGAGTTCAAGCGATGATGATTTTGTGTGAATTTTTTTTTTTGAAGATCACGATGTAACAGTTCATTTTGCTGATATTTGTTATTGTTTTTATGAAAAAGTATTGAAAAAGCTTTATTGTGTTCTTCATCCCTTTTTTGTTGTTGCCTATTTCTGTCTCTTCTCTCTCGTTTCCCAGTCATACTCTATTTTATAAGTGTAATTCGATCAGTGTACTTGGTGAATTATCTTCTGAATGATTGAATTGTTCCTGAATTGACATTCTCATTTACTGTATATAAATCCAAGTAACTACAGCTGCATTTTTAATATGTGTTTGTTGTTGTTGGATTTCGGCTTTCTGTTCATTCTTGCAATTCACTCTGATGAGTACATGACGAAAAACTTTGGTCTGTCTGTATTCGTTGCTAATCTTTGATTTGTTAGTATCACCCATCTCTTGAAATGCTTGTTAATAAATCACAATGAATTCATTTCCTCCGGGGGGGGGGTACTCATATTTTAGGATGTACGGGGGTGTGCCGCTCTAATGGGTTACTTTTTCACAAAAATCCCTAGACATGGGTCCCACTTTTAACAAAAAAAATCATTAAAAATGGGTCCGTTTTTTCCAAAATTTTCGGGGGTTTGCCATGCAAACACCCGAAAAAAAAACACCCGAAAATTGTGGGAAATGGGTCTTTTTTCGAGAAAAATGCCCCTGAATGACCCCTAATAATGGGTAGGGGTTTCGAGGCTTGAGCGGTATACCCCCAACCAAACCAAATCTGAGTATCCCCTCGGGCATTTCCTATCCTCGATCCTCACTTTCAGGTCGATCTCTCTCATCCATACCTCATCACTGGCATCGTGACAAAAGGGATGCAAGGAACTCATAAATGGGTATCATCTTTCCTCGTCTCCCATAGCAACAATGGGCGTGACTACGAGCCTCTCAGAGATAAATGTTGTGAAGAACCGGAGGTACATGTAAATTAATTATAGATTTATGTATATATATATATTAATAACTTTTTATTTTATTTATTTCTTTATTTTGTAAATATCTTGAGAAAATAGAAATTCTGGATAATGAAATATGATCTCAAATGAAATCTTTCCTTGAAAATTCAACTCGGAGTTCATAATGTTTATTGCCTATGAAGATGATGTTTAGTTATGAATACCTTTTTAGGAAAAGATTTTTTGCATCATTGTATAAACATCTGTGTAGACTAGCAATCTAGTGATGAATGATCTTAATTGCTTTCTTTCATATGACATTTCAAACCGGAGTAAGTTCATCATGTTCATTGCCATCCAAATGATCGACACCCTTTGAGGAAATGGATTTTAAGCATCAGTTTTGTAAAATCTGTTGAGAGTACTAGCAATCATGGATTATAATAATTAATGGCTTTCTTTCATATTTTACATTTCAAACAGGATTTCATAGCCAATGACGATGACAGTACCCAGGTGACAAACACATTCCACCCTCCCTTCACCGCTCGCTATGTACGTATCTACCCTGTTTCATGGGTCGAGAGGATAGCACTGAGGTTCGAACTCCTCGGTGTCAAATTGACAAACGGTAATGTCAAATACAGTCCTATCTCTTATTGTTATAATTTATTTATTTATGTTATACGTAATAATTATTTTTTTTCTTCAAAAATTGCCCCCTTTTTAGCTTCTGTTAGAGAACTTAATGCGTGTTGTATAATCTTTTGGAAATGTTCCAACAGCCACTGATAAATGTTTTTATTCAAGTAAAAGGGAAGCCTGCAAATGTATGATTGTATTGTTATCGGAACTACCCCCCCCCCCCCAAAAAAAAAAAAAAATAAATAAATAAATAAATAAATAAAAAAAATAAAATTAAAAAAAATATGATAATAATAATATAATAATAATATTAATAATAATAATAATTTTTTAACGGCAGGAGCGTCTGCTCTAGATTGTCCCCATCCGCCATTGCTTGGGCAAGGGGAGGATGACTCGAATCTTAATAGTTAGAGGTCCATCGGGGACTCTTGAACCCCCCCCCCCACCCAACCCCGCCCCTGTCACTACGCCACTGGGTGTCACAGTAAAACAATCGAATTCGAACGGTTTAAATTGATTTGAATATTCCTGGAGGTTATCTTTGTTTTGTCCTGAATGTAAAAGAATTGTGACTGACACCTTTTAAACATGACATAAAAATCCTTCATCGCGATGAATTACAAACATGTATGACTCAATAGTGGGATTTCTGAAAGTGGAATTGATCTCGGGGTAAATGATTTTCTTCATAGAATATGGGACAGAGAGTTGTGGCATTCCATGATTGCCAACGTCTCAGGACATGGCACGTAAAGAAGAAGAATGATTCAATATCTAGTACTCGTTTAATCATGATCCTTTTCTTAACGAATGTTCATGATTGTGTGTAGGTGAAGCGATGATAACTCGACCACTGGGGCTGGAAGACCGACGCATTGCCGACTCTCAACTCAGCGCCTCGTCGTGCTGGAACACGATCCAGTGCGCGAACACGGCCAGGCTATTCAACGAATACCAAGCATGGTCACCGAAGAAAAGCGATAAAAACCCATGGATCCAGGTAAACAAACAGACAGACTGATAAATAAACCAAAAAAATAAACGTTCATACAAACTTGATTCGGTGTGCGAACACGGCTATACAATAACTACCAAGAATGGTCACCGAAAAAGTGATAAAAAAACACCGATCCAAATAAACAAACAGACAAACTGATAAATAACCAAAACTAAAAAGTTTGGATGCAGTTAGATAGATAAATAGACAGACAGATATATAAACAAATAAGCAAATCAACCAACCAACTAACCAATCAACCAATCAAACAAACGAGCACAAATAAATCAACGTAAACAAACGTTTCGGTGATGTGGGGGAAATAGCTATAGTTAATCGATTTCATGAAAATGACTGGATTTCATATGTACATGCATTTTACATGTTTTCATTTTACTTTGGTGTTTAACAAAAATAAATCTCCAATGTTAGGTTGACTTGCGCCAGTCGTTTCGTCTAGAAGCTGTACTGACTCAAGGTCGCGACAATGCTGATAACTGGATAACGGCTTTCTTGGTGACGTACAGTTTAGATGGGTACTCCTGGACATACAGTCTAGGAAATGATGGACAACCACAGGTATGAAGAATAAATAGCATTAAAGCCGCAAAGGCACTCCTGATATGAAATCGAAGCATTTGCTACATGAATATTGTCTACAAAATAGATCGTAACTATCATTACCTTTTTTAAACAGAATTCCCCTATCACGATCTGACCGACCTTTTTTTAAAGGAGGGGGGGGGGGGAGGGGTTGAACTTAGAAAATTGATTATCGTAATACAATACCTCGTTTAAATGATTACTATGATGACTTTCGTAACGGTGACGATGTCGATGGCAAAGATGATGATGATGATGATGATGATGATGATGATGGTGGTGGTGGTGGTGGTGGTGGTGATGATGATAATGATGATGATGATGATGATGATGATGATGACGTCAAGCTGACGTTGGACAAGAAGACGAAATATGAAATATTAGAATTATATATTCTTAAACGTTTTGTTTCCATCACCCAAATGTCTAATTTATGAGATGCTTACCTTTCGCTACCTTGCCCCAGAGAAGTTAGCCTTATGTTATACCAAAAAAAAAGAATTTGAGCGAAATTGGATTTATTCAATACATACATTTCTTTTCAATCGATGACATGTTAAAGTCGAAAGGTAATTAGGTACGATGGATTAAGGATATCCGACATCTTCAATGTCAACATTATAATTACCCTTCATCTTGATTTCCTCTGATCTTCACCACATTTTATTTAGAGGGTAGTTTTCCTGATGAAGGATTGTGCTTGCCTTAAACCATCTCATAATTTACTCGAAATTGGAAGTTGACTATTTAGTGGACTGAACTGATATGATCGGATAACTTGTCATCTCGTCCTAAATAAGTATATATTATAGTTATCCTGTATCTCATCACTTCTCGGTGCATGGCACTCTTGAACTTCCTCATGATTGCCATGTAATTGCCAAGGAATGCATCAGTGGTTATGCTAACAATGTATGATTATCACCAATGGTGTAATTCGGCCGCAGACAAAGAGAAGACACTGGTATCATGAGGGGGGGGGGGGGGTATACCAGTCTTACGCGATGAAATAAATTGCCTTTGACGACGCTACTGATTAAGCGCGTGTTGTGGCAATAGGTCCTTTCGTATACTTTCCTCGGGTTTTTTTTTCTCGTTCCACGTATTTCTTTTTTACATCTAGTAATTCAATATTCACGATCAAAGTTTTATTGTCCATAATTGCAATACCGAAATCTGTTCCCCATTATTGTTCCCCATCTCTCAGCAGATATTATATAACAATCCTCTGATTAACCTATGATTTATTGAAGACATGTGAAATATAAAAAAAACTCTCTCCTTTGGTGTTTGTATTTTATGTTGAGATATTTCACAGCAATCAGGATCGGAATAGTCTGGTCGTCAACCCCTTCATGCCCGCATTCGTCGCCCGATTCGTCCGTATCGAGCCGCTATCTTGGCACCATCATATCTCATTGAGGTTTGAACTGTTTGGAGCAGGTCCTATTCCAGGTAGAGTATTATACAGTGCGTCCCAGAAAAAACGAAACCGAGAAGTATCGATGTTCTATCATAACTTAATCACAACTATAATTAATGAATGATACATATTTGGAAAGCTTAGAGTCTCCTCTTTCATGTGATGCTACTCAGATGATGCATATTTCACGCATGTGGGATTAAAAGCAATTTGAAGGAAGTAAACCAAAAAGACATTTGGCGGGCGGTATCTGAATTTCGAAGAAAAATTCACATTTCTAGAAAGTTGAGTTTCTGCCCTTTCATATGACACCTCAATCAGGAAAAATAAGCGAGGAATGACAAAGTTCTGTTTGTTTAAAGTAGTGCTTGCATTTCCATAATTTTATTAAACGAATTCGTTTTCACTGGCTGCCCGCCGTATCAAATTGACAAAAGACTTAACTCCGTTTCGTTGACAATCAGCCGTAGACGAGAGCCTTCATGCATGGCTGATTGTCAACGAAACGGAGTTAAGTCTTTTGTCAAATCTGCTTTTTGCTACGGCAGGCACCCAGTGAAAACGCCAAATGTCTTTTTGGTTTCCTTCCTTCAAATTGCTTTTAATCACTCATGCGTGAAATATGCATCATTTGAGTAGCATCAACTGAAAGGGGAGACTCTAAGCTTTCTAAATATGTATCATTCATTAATTATGGTTGTGATTAAGTTATGATAAAACATCGATACTTCTCGGTTTCGTTTTTTCTGGGACGCACTGTAAAAATAATACACAGCAATGAGGGCATTAGTAAGAATTACCCACACAAGGTACCTTTGGAACAGTCTAGCACGCCCGAGGCATAGCCGAGGGTGTTTGGACTGTTTCGAAGGTAGCGAGTGTGGGTAATTTTACTAATGCCCGAACAAAATGATGTGTATTATTTATTTCATAAGATTATGTTTTATTTGTTTTATTAAAATTAAAATGATGTTTTTTTATAGCATGATTTTATTAATTGCCGGTCATTATCAAAATTACGTGTTATGCAAAATAAATGCCTGGTCATGCACGTGTATGCTCTCAACTAATCATTTGATTAGGATCTACGTCATCTTCTTGTAAAACTGAATATGATCGAACCATACCCAACTAAATGCACACCACTTAATAGACATTAAGAATGAATTAAAACGTGATAATTCGCCAACTCCTTGGCTCTTTACTAACTTTACTAATTCCCCTTCAAATAAGAATAAATTAGCAACTAAATGTTCATACTGACAACTAATTGTTCATACCCTTTAAAACTAAATGTTGTGATCTTTTTAAAAGTGTATGGAAAATTGACTTGTCCCGATTTATGGTTCTTCACAACGTGACATTATTAAAGGTTTACATCTAAATGTATTCAACAGAGATCCTGATTCAATCAGTTCATTTTTTATTCTTGTGTGACGAAAAATACAAAAACATCAAATTTACAAGGGGTATGAATGATTCAGTTGTTTAATGTGTGTATATAGTTTGAATTATTATATGTATATTTCTGTTACGGAGCACATTATGTGGGCCATGTTCCCAACGGCTTTTGAAGTCGTAAAATAACTTGATGATGACATAGAGGATCTGGATTAAACCAGCCTTTCCCGTACTACTGATGTCTACAGCTAGAAGTTAGCAACCTTACGAAAGAACGATGTCGTCCTCATCATTTGTCACGAGAGTGTAACAAAAATGCCAGTAACTACAACGCGATCGCAACTAATTTCGAAAAATAACGTAATGTAATTTCGATAGCCTAGTGCGTTACATATTGAAATATGCGAACATGACAATAATCTATTACGTAATCCGTACATGATTCCGATGGGACATACAATAGGGCATTGAAATTGCCCTTGAGTTGATTTTTCGAGAATAGTAGCGATCGTTTATATTTCTATGTACTGATTGGAAAGCTATGCACGGACATTGAATGACACACGCCCTTAAGACTAAAACAACAACAACAACCTAACTCATTCAATGGCATATAGGGTTATTAGGTGGTTGCGCTTTTCGGTGATTGATTTCTTCACATGTTCAGTTTGTTTCGTTCCTTTTTCCCTTGCTTCTTTTAGAACTATCATTTTCCTATTTTCATCTTATCCTTCTGCACTCCTGACTCCATTTTCGCCTTTCCTATATTGCACATCCCCATCCCCTCTTTTTTTTTGATCGATCAAAATTACATAATCATGACATCATGCATTTCCTCCCATTTTTCTTGTAAATCTTTGGCAGTAATACCGAATACCCTGGGCCTCGAAGATTATCGTATAGCGGATTCAGAACTCCAAGCATCCAGTTGCAACAACGATCGTCACTGCGCGAATCATGCGCGTCTCAACTTCGCCGGCGCGGACGAACAAGGTGGAACCCCGAGTAACTCAGTGACGTCATCAGGGAAACTCCCCGGAGCGTGGATACCGCGGTACAACGACCACAACCAATGGGTTGGGGTGGATCTCATCGAGAAATACCGGGTGGTGGGTGTCATCACGCAAGGTCGGGAAGACGCTGACCAATGGGTGACGTCATTTGCGGTGTCGTACAGCATGGATAACGAGGCGTGGTCGTTCATTGGAGATTGCGATCGCGAAGAAAAGGTATATAATTTATGGCACAATCAGTGGTGTAGGCTAGCTAGCGTTGGGCCCAGCCATTGAGGTTGTCTCTGGTGTTGGGGAGAGGATAGAACACGTCTTTCCTAAATCTGGATGAAATATGGGACAAGGCCATGATGTGGGATATGTTCAAGATAGAAAAGGGATTGTATTCTTCCGTTAATTCCTTCCTCCCCTCTCTTCTTTCTTTCACAAACTCTTTATAAAATTATTTTCTTGTAGCGTTTTTGATTTGGGAGGATACCTGCCCCTCCCCCTTATCTACGCCCTTGGCACAATGAAGTAGGCTAATATTAGATGTTCCAACATTTAATCCCAAAACTTTAGACAAGAAACAAAATCCTAGTTGTCGGATTTTACACTTTAATTAGTTTACTTCACCATGATGATACAGGCATTTTGTTATTTATGCAGTTTTACCATTTTATTCACGATCTTAGATCTACCGGGGTAACCACGATCGCTCAACCCCCATCATCAACTTGTTCGAGACGCCTCTCCTGGCTCGTTCCGTCAGGGTTCATCCGAAAAGATGGACCAGGCACATCGCCCTCCGACTCGAACTCCTCGGCAATGGCCCTGTTGCAGGTATGATCGGATATGGTTTGTTGATAATATTATTAGTAGTATTAATAATAATACTAATACGACTACACTACAACTACTTCTACTACTACTACGACCACGATGACGACGACTACTACCTCTTCTTCTACTACTACTGCTGCTGCTACTACTACTACTACTACTACTACTATTACTACTACTACTACTACTACTACTACTACGACTACTAGTACTACTACTACTACTACTACTACTACTACCAATCCTTCTTCTTTTACTGCTTCTAATAATATACCATCTAATGCCATCGCTACAAAGTTAAAATGACTATTATTATAATTCTAGTTTAAAGCTTTTTTTTTCTTCCAATTTTTGAATCCTTTTCATTTTACAGAAGTGGGGATTGACGCGAACAAGCTGGGAATGGAAAGCGGACGGATCGCCGACACTAGTATCGCGGCATCGACCTGCATCAGCGACGACGCTTACTGCTCCGAGTCGGCGAGACTCAACCGCGAGGTCGGGGGATGGGTGCCCCTCATCAACGACTTCGCGCAATGGATACAGGTCGATCTCATGGCCGTGTACCGCGTGACCGGGGTCATCACGCAGGGGCGGAGTGATGCCCCGCACTGGGTCACGCGATTTACTGTCTGGACAAGCCGGGAAGGCAAAGGGAAGTGGACCCCAGTGACTGAATCGACCTGTGGAGAAGTCAAAGAGGTTATGAATTAAATAATTATTATATGTTTTTTGTTCTCTTCAAATGAAAAGCAAGGATTTCATACGCTGTGTTTGACATAATTAGTCAATACGTAATTATTAAACATGAATTCATGTATAGTAGGCTCTATATAAAATTATGTAGGCCTATTATTCACATAGTTTTTAGCAGTTCAGTATCATTTATTTCCATTAAAATAAAAAAGCAAACAATACATTTTTATCCTTTTTTTCTTTTTTGTGGAAATGAGATTTGTTTTCAGCACAGTAGAATATAAATTATAATACTAATAATAAAAAATAATGAAAATGTAGTTTAACATTATATGAAAGTGCATGCTTTGTAAAATTAATGACACGAAACACAATTAAAGCGTATAATGGAAATAATATATATGATTTACAAAATTCCATACGTGAGGGTAATTTTACGTCGGATCAAATATTATGGGGAGAGTGTCCAACTTGGGTAATATTTCCCGAATCACAATCAGCTTTACTACCAGTGAGCACAGGTCAACCGAAATCTCCTTATTAACATATTTCCCCCAAAACGTTCGTCGGACATAATCATCCATGGATAAAAAGGGTCATGTTTGGCGATTTTGTATGACAAATATCTATCATGATAAAGACTGAGAGACGCTATAGATATGCTAAACAAATCATTTTTATTCAGATCGTTCCCGAAATTTTTTTGAAAAAAATGATAGGAGGAAAGGGAACAAGATGAATATATTACCAACAGATCTTTTTTGATGAAGCCTAACGATGTTTCCCGACATGATGCGCTTTATTAACTGTATCAATAAAGATATTTACACATCGGTGGAACCCCCATTTCCCATGAGCTGCAAAGTCGTGTATTCAATTTTCGGATTCGATCGAATGTTAATATATGTTTTTTTAATAAATCTAATGCTCGAGCTATATCGCGATCATTATTCTCTTGTTCTCTATTTGTCATAATAATGAATGAAGCACACTTTGACTTTTTTTCTCAGATCAAAATCTTCACGGGTAACTGCGACCAGTCGACTCACTTCACCAACCGGTTTAGCCCGCCTATCCTGGCCCGCTACGTCCTGCTCGCTCCTGTGGCATGGCATGCGCACATCGCTCTCAGATTCGAACTGCTTGGCGAAGGCCCTTTCATGCTACCCGACATAGCAGTGCACTGACGTAATTTTCATCACCGATATTAAGGAAAAGACACTATAATATTTTATACTGGCACGGTGTATAAACCGCTCCCCATTTTCCTAGGTATAGATATAAGATGTTTTGATTGAGGTATATCAGCTGAGGAAGAATGCTGAACCCGGCCACTCTTGCCTATAATATAAAAGTCGAAATACACCTCTCTATAAAGGCCAACTGTCTACAGTGGCCATAATTTTGACTCTTTCGACAGAGGGGGCAAATACTTATCCAGAAATTGAGATGTCTGCATCCTGCACTCCCACTTGTGGATATATACTACTGTAATTTCACTTTATTCATTTAGTTTGTTTTAATCGCTGACAGATTTTCGTTTTGTTGAAGTGATTATAATTATGTGACATTGTAATTTGTGCGTTTCTTTTAGATCTTTTATGGAGCCTGGGCTCCAATACAAAAATGAACCAGATGCATTTTTCTTACTGCCTAAAGGTGTTTTTTTCTTGATCCAATCATTACAAAGATTGTTCCAACAAATTTGTTATATCTTTAACAATCAATATCATTACCCTTATTTTATACAGAAATATTCTACATAGTCATGTAGAATGCATTTGTAAAATATCGTATATCGTTAATCACGAAATGAACTTTCTAGTTTATCTAGTTTTCAAACATTGAAATTCAGTGGCGTAATGAGCAAAAATGTTGGGGGGGGGGGGGGCTGAAGAAAAAACATCCGCCATCATCACCACTCTCACGTGTTACATGCAGGCCCCGCGAAACGTTTTTTCAAAGTGTGTGTGTGGGGGGGGGGGGGGGGGGGACGGGGGGCGGGGGCTTAAGTATATTGACGATAATGTCAAGCGTAGCGAGCGAAGCAAGTGGAGCGAAAATTGGCGTGGGGTCTAGGGGCGGAGCCCCCGGAAGCTCAAGGGTTTTAGGCATTGAATTACGGTCAGATGAGCATATTTTGATACCTTATTTGTTTGGGGTCCAGGGGGCTGAGCCCCATAAAGCTCGGATTTAGGGGCCCGCCTTGGGTCCATTTTCAGAAAATCTTACCTTTATATTGAGAATTGTTACCTCAGTCAGGTCTGCGGTTACAAGCCATCTTACTTTGTTGTATCTGATGTCAGTGGGTCCATTTGTATATTATGTATATATTATTTTAGACTTGATCATGACTTGTGTTTCTTTCTTTTTTAGCTTTGAGTTTGTTTCATTGTCATTGTATGTTTTACTTTTTGTCTGTAATACAATAATTAAAAATATACACGTGATCTGTTCCTACATGTGACCCTGTTTTTTTGTTTGTTTTGTTTTCAATCGAAGTAGGCCTATATACATATTATAAAAGGAAGAGCCGTAATGGGGAGGAGGAGGGGTGGGCGTTGGTGTTCCAGCTGTTTCCCACGTATATCGTCCATCTTAATTTCCATCGTTAAATTTTCATTATACTGAGACCTTAAAATTGCCACTGATCATTAATGATACACAATACATTATGGGTACAAAATGGAGTATACAAATATCCACATGCTTCTATGGTGGCATTAGATCGTGGCTTATTAGGTACATGTGGAATGGGGTATATGGGGCACGGGCCGAGACATGTGTCCACAATCAACTTTTGGTGAAGAAACTGAAATGGAAGGAGAGATCCGAGGGATAGAGAGGGAGAAGTGATATAATTGATAGAGATAGAGGGAGATAGAGAGAGGAGAAGGGGATTGGCTCAAGATCAAGGCCCGGGTGGGGGAAGGGAGGGAGGGAGGGAGGGAGAGGGAGGGGGAGGGAAAGAGAGAGAGAGAGAGAGAGAGAGAGAGAGAGAGAGAGAGAGAGAGAAGGGGATTGGCTCAAGATCAAGGCCCAGGTGGGGGAGGGAGGGAGGGAGAGGGAGGGAGGGAGGGAAAGAGAGAGAGAGAGAGAGAGAGAGAGAGAGAGAGAGAGAGAGAGAGTCCGGGGGCCGGGGGAGGGAGAGAAGATGATACGATCGACCCTATTAATCCACCTCTTCATGACCATGTTCTCTCGTATATTTCTTGTGCCCCCACCCCCTACAACATGATATCAGTGCCGTGCCTATAGGCATAACAATCCGTAATAAATACAACTCCATATCATCACTTTTAAATACACCATTTTTTGGGGGGATAACCAAAAAAGTCAATTTAATTGTGCCTAATTTTTTGAGAATTCAGTTTGATTTAGAGCATTGCTAGCCATGTGCAAGAGACCGAATAATAATGAAAATAAAAACAATAAATCATACATATATGACGTATATCACAAATATTTCCCTATGCTAGCTATGTAATGGAGAGAAGGAAAGAAAAAGAAAATGAATAGAAAAGAGTGAGATGTGCACAGTATACTACCGCAAGTCGTATACTACTTACTAGTAAGTTAAATTCGAAATTGTTTCTAAAGAGAAACTTTTTAAGACGTGTTTTAAACTTGCCAACAATATCTCATTTATACAATTAATATTAATATAGGCTTGCAAGTTGCAATTCATTCCAGCCTTACACATAGATTTTGGGGGCATTTATTTTTAGCTTGACACCCGCAGAGCTAGAGTTTAATCTTTGAGCTTGTGCATTTCCTTTCATGTATATTGCGTGGAGATACCTTAGTACACAAGCACTATACTAGAATTAGTCGCATAATTCAGTCAAATCAGCTGATTGCCATCGTCGTCATTCTGCCAAAATGGCAGGAAATCCACGCCCCAGAGTCACCATTTTTCGAAATGGAAGGACTTCGGATGGGAAGGTATGGTAATTCAACAAGTGATGTTTGTGTTTGTGAAAAAGAATGGTTATAATGGCATAAACTGGTAGATTTAGTGAATGTATTTTTGCTAGCAAAGTTTTATGCGTAGTCCCAGCTGTATAGATCTGTGTCAAGTTTTCAGTTAGAAGTTTGAATTTCAGATTAGATCTAGATCTAGATCTAGATCTAGATCTATTCCGAATATAAGTAGACTAATATGATATATTTTCGTTCATGAATATTAATGTATTTTTATTTGGTTCAGGTTTGAGAACTGGGAAAATGGAAAAATCAAGAGATCTTTCTTGTATTTGGGCTTTGAAGACTTTGGAGACACACCTACCATGACTCGCTCATTGCATTTGCAGTTTGTTGTTGTTTTAGTTTTGATTGGCGTGTATCATTCATTTAATATTTATGAATATTTATGCAGGTCTAGTTTATGTGTAGTCTAAACTCTAATAACATTGTTAAAGTTAGATCTACCCTCTAATGATTTTCAAAACTTTAAACACCACTAGACACCACTAGACAAAACTCACTGGACAAAACTCAACAGAAGGCAATAATATCAGAACTTTGTGATAATACACCAGTTTACGGTTGTGTGCGCCATTTTAAACAAAGCCAATGGCCTAGAGGTCATGTATTTATGCTTAAATTAAGATTGCGACCATGCAAATTATGATGACATCACTGCCTGCGCGCTGTGTTGTGCGCGCACATCATCATTTGCATGGGCGCAATCTTAATTTACGCATAAATACCACTGACCTCAGGTCATTGGCTTTGTTTCAAAGCCAATTACCTAAGGTCAGCCTGTCTGCGCATGCGCACTGATGTAACTGTAAACTGGTGTATTGATGAAACGTACATGTAAATAGCAGCAAAATACAATCAATTCAATTCATCGATGTTGGAAAAAAAAATTATAATTTAATTTAAATGAGAAATCTATTGTCAATCCTGGCCAAGAAGCAGCATCATTAATTATTCAAATCACAATCTTACCTTAAAATGGTAACAAGATGGAGCTTCAGATATTTCCTGTGCTATTCCAAGGTCTAAATCATGTCCAAACAGTAAAAAGATCCCTGCTTATATTTTTTACCATTTTTTTTCTTCTTTTTTTCTAGTGATAGATCTAGTCTCAAGTGGTACACTTGGCAAATAACTTGGCAAAAATGGCCTATAAAAAGCAGCCACCAAAATCTCTGTCAGCCTTGCGCACACTAAAAATCTTGCATTTAAATTTTTTTTGTTATAGCCAAGTTCTATTAAATTGCCTTACATTGGAAATTTGAGCACAGTGACCAAGTAATCAATAAATTAACAATGATCTTGAGGCACCATATTGACAAGATTGACAGTATTCTTCCGCTTCAAGTATTTTTTCCAAAATTGAATAGTTGAATTGATTTTTATTTTACTTCTATTAAAGGTAATACAAAGTTTTGGGAAATTTTGAAAATTGGGTGGATAGTGAATCTTTACAATTTTGATATATTTGGATGCCCATGTGGATGTATTATAATCACTGAAAAAATTAACCCCTAAAACACTTCTGTTTTCGAGAAAAATTGAATATAAAAATTTACCGGTGCTCCCGGTAAATTTTGATAAATTTCAAATAGCGCCTACGGCCGTAAAATGGTAGCTGCGACCATGAAAATCTCAGAATATGTAGTTGTGATATATAATTTCCAAACGGGAATAGCTATCGGTCGATTTTAGTCAAGAAACATTGTTTCATAGCTAATTTAATATCTTGACCTTGAGAGGGAGCTATACAACATACAGAGTTTATTATTTATAATTTCATAACTTTAGACTCCATTTCAACCGGGACAACGATCAATGAGTATTGTAGGAACGCATATGCTTCCAATATGTTAATTTGAACCAAATTCATGATCCCATACCAAAACTTTGTAATACCTTTAAGGTGCTGTCACTTGTAAATAAAGAGTTGATTTTTGTTGAATTTCGGTGAGTTTTAAGATTCAATAGAGGACATCTACATGTATTTTTTTATAACACATCAAGCAGAATAAGGCTGCTATGAACGGCATCCCTAAGAAGTTAGCCATGTTGCTTTTATGTGATGTAAATGGATTTTGTTTCTTTTCAGGTTATAGCATGTCCAGATACGATGGAGAGACTGATATTGGTTGCCAGTAACTGCCTAGGATTAACAGCGACACATGTATTCACAGCACAGGGAGGTAGGATAGATGATGCCTCATTAATCAGGTATGTACCTTCTCCAAATATAATTATGAGCTAGAATGCAGAATAACTAATTGTTTAAATGACACCCTGTGACCCTGCATCATTCTTTCCTACCATGCTTACACTACAAGCAAAAAAGAGGATTCCATAGAAAAGTAATAATCCACAGCTAATTTTTATTTTTTATTTTTGGTGTTGTGTACATCCACAATGAGGTTCAATGGAAAGAAGAAAGGGAGGGATAGAATGAAGGATAGAGATTGAGAAAGTTGTAAAAGTTGAGTGAAAAATGAAAAATGAAGTTCTGAAAAGAACTGTTGGTGTTTTCTGTGGAGTAGTTCTGAAAATATTTTCTGAACTACAGGATTCTTTTGGGGAAATGAGCATAATTTTGTGATACAAAAAACAAATAATTTGAAAAGTCTTGTTTATTGTTTATTATTATTTAATAGTGACTCTACCTTCATGCAGTGCATATTCAGAAATGCACTTGCAAACTTGAATCTCTATTATTATATTCATATACTGTAAAACCAGAAAACTTTCAGAAATGAAACTTGTGCAAATTTGGAGGATTTTCATTTGCAGTTTTGCACAGAAAGAAACTTTCGCAAATCTGAACCACTCACAAAGTTTCTGAACAGTAGGAGTATTTCAATTACTAACTTAATAAGAAGGTCATAAAGCACTTATGGTGAACTAAATTCGTGAATCAAGGCAATTTGAATCTCAGATTTATTTTCCTTAAACTTTAAAATATGGATTTTTATTTGGAAAAAAGCATTCTGTTTTCCCCGGCCCTGAAAATGATCTAACAAACTTATAGAGGATGAAAAGGAAGAATGAAAACAATGAATATTGGAAGTAGGAGACAAGATGTTTCTGTATCTGTATCTGCTAACTTTTGTCAAGCGTTGATCTTCCTTCTTAACAAAAAGAAAAAACCCATAAAATATTTTTTAAATCATATTTTGTAACTACTCTCACAACATTTGAAAGTTATAAAAACGACTGAAAAGCAATGACAACTGTTAAGTGTGTTACAGCATTATTGTGGGAAGAACATGTTAGACCCAGAGAAACACTTTTCATTTAAAATATATGGAGTTAACCTCTTTCAAATATAAATACTTTTAATCATGTACATTAATAAACGTGGTAAAGTTTGTTTTCTATAGTATTATCTAAAATTGTATTTTCTGTGTTTTTCTTTGCTGCAGAGATGATGAAGTATTGTACATATCAGAGAATGAACCCTTTGTAGGTAAGAAACCCCCTCTGCCATTTCTTTATTCTGGAATTACATTGAGAAAGGGGAAGTAGAATTTTTTGTTCAGAAGAACTTTTTTTAAATATAATGCAGGAGGATAATAATAATATAATATGGATATTTAAATAGCGCCAATATCTGGCACGCTCTGACGCTCATGGCGCTATACACATATTACCCTAGTTATAGCCGAGCTGCCAAAGTAACTAGCGCTCAAGCATATCAGGTACCCATTTACACTGGGGTGGAGAGTGGCAAATGTAGATTAACGTCTTGCCAAAGGACATTAGTGCCACGACGGGACTTGAACTCCATACCTTGTGATCTGCAGTCGGGTGACTTATCCACTAGACCACAACACCTCTACATAATACATGTAGGTAGATGCAGGACGATTGCCCAAGTATATTCAAAATTGTGATGTTTGATACAGAATATCATGTCCCAGATCAGGAAGTGAGTAGATGAGGCTTCGCTTAAATTATTAGCAGTAAGGGCAAATGATTTTCACAAAATAAGTGGAGTGAAAAATAAATGATGTACATGTACATCCATGTGATTTGTGGAGTTGAATAAAGACGAAGGACTCTTGACTGTGCTCAAAGACAGACTGATTGGTGACAACCACTGGCTGTCATGAGATCGGAACAAAATGGGGAGTGGGGCGGGGAGGACAGGGGAATTACACAAGGGCTCGGGGCAAACTCGCCCCTGAAATGCCCCAAAGAGCCCCCGAAAGTCATAATAGAGCCCCCAAAAATTTGCATAGAGTTCAATGCAAAACAAATTAAATCGTGTTATTTTCATGCAAGCAAGCTTGAAAAGTAGCTCCCCAAATTTTGTAAATCTTTTTTTCCCTGGGGGGGGGGGGGGGGGCAAATGAAGTCTTTACCATGGAGGTTCTGGTTTGAGCTCCCATTCTCACAAATGGAGAGCGAGTATAAATTGACCGCATTGGGAACTTTGTAACAATGACAAGTTTGACAACCTCCAACTTTCCTTTCAGCTGAATATGATCTAGACAATGCCCGCAAATTAAGCGCACAAGTGTGATGTCAATTTCATGTTGACATACTCTGGTGGCAATTACTCCTTTAAATGAGTTCCTAACTTCAACCCTGGACCAAACACAATGCAGAACCCTTACCCTTAACCCCAACCCCAAACCTACGTTCGTTGTTACCCTAACTCTATACATACCTAAACCTAACCTCAAGCTAAACGTGATAGGGAATCCAACCTTGAAAGCAAACTGCTCTAGAAAAAAGAAGAAAAATCAGAGAAGCATACTAGTGAAAGTAAAAGTTTGAATAAAATTGGATGAAAAATGAAAAGTTATGAATTCTTGAAAGTTGCAATCACTATACATGTAAGTACATGTATGGGCTCTCCAAATTGGCTGAATTAGGTTATGCCTTTGTGATGTAGTGGCAGACAACTTACCCATTCGTTTCAACACACAAAATAAATAAAATTACTTTTCAAAAATGTATGACTTAGAATTGTCTTTTCTTTTTGGAGGACCTGTAATAATGTATTCTCCATAATATATTTTGAGTAATGCTTCAAAGATGAAAGCAATAAGAGAAACACAGAAATTGGGGATATTTTTTAATAGTTTCGCATTGCATAAGCTTAGTGATCTCATATTTCAAACAGTCGTAACTCTCTTATTATTGGTCCTATTTATGTCAATATTTCGCCATTCTTTCTCTTTCTCTGATTTTTCTGCTTTCATTGAAATGAACTTATTACAAGGGTTGGATTGCCCTTTAAAACTTGATTGCAACCATAATGCTGACCTCAAATCTTTGGCAAAACAGCCCGAAACTACATCATATTAAAGGTAATACAAAGTTTTGGGAAATTTTGAAAATTGGGTGGAAAGTGATTCTTTACCATTTTGATATATTTGGATGCCCCTGTGGATGTATTGTAAACACACAAAAATTTAGCCCCTAAAACACTTCTACTTTCGAGAAAAATTTAGTATAAAAATTTACCGGTGCTCCCGGTAAATTTTGAGAAATTTCAAATAGCGCCTACGGCCGTACAATGGTAGCTGCGACTATGATAATCTCAGAATATGTAGTTGTGATATATAATTTCCAAACGGGAATAGCTAATCGGTAGATTTTAGTCAAGAAACATTGTTTCATAGCTTAATTAATATCTTGACCTTGAGAGGGAGCTATACAACATAAAAGAGTTTATTATTTACAATTTCATAACTTTAGACTCGATTTCAACCGCGACAACGATCACTGAATATTGTAGGATCGCATATGCTACCAGTGTGTTCATTTGAACAAAGTTCATGACCCCATACCAAAACTTTGTAATACCTATAAAGGGGACCAACCAATAAAAAATAATTTTCTCAATATATTCGGGATCCAATACTGCTCCATTTGATTCCAAATCTGTGCTTTAGAAATTAATTCTCTATAATAGATATGGCAAGTATTCCAAAAAATATTCTTAAAAAAAAAAGAAGTGACATTTGATAGGCTAATCCATACTGATCCGTGCCAAATTGCAGGATAAATAAAGCAAAAATTGCAAAAGGGTTAACCCCTGTAATTATTTTGTAGATCTTGTCCATTTCTTTTATTCATGAAATGGAAAGATATCTGTGGAAAGATTATCTTCATCAAAAAATCAATTTGCAAATTTTGTCATTAGGCCCATTTACATGTTGACAGACTTTTTTTTTTTTTTTTTTTTTTTTTTTAACTATCAATTTTTTGGACTGCCATTTACACTACTAAACATTCGTGTCAACTCATTTTCTTCATGTATATATATATATATATATTTTGTGTGAGTAAAAAATAAAGTTTAAGCCTAGAAAATTGCTAATTATTTTAAAAATCATCTATGAACAATAGATTATTATACATCTTATGAAAGAGTATTTTATCCCAAATTGTTGGGACCATTTTTGTGTAGCACGTGTTCACGCTTGGATGAACAGGAGGCATTGTTTGCGAGAGTGCAGAAATCGACTTGCGCCAAAGTGATGCCTACATTATATATTATGTGAGATTAGCGGAGTGAGAGAATGAATTGAATGTATCAAATGAAATGCATTGCATATGCTTTTGCAGAAGCAAAGTCACACACACACACACACACACACGCGCGCGTGCACAAATGTTTGTTGATATTTGATATTCGATATTAGTTACGTTTGGCATGACTAATTTTGTTAGGGATGTTATTTGGATCTGCAGAGACCGAATTAATACTCAAATCCCAATTATTTATTCGAACACCACATAAGCAACTTTGGCACAAGTCGATTTTTGCACTCTCGCAAACAATGCCTCCTGTTCATCCAAGCGTGACTTCATACCACACAAAATAATACTAAATGATTCGGGATAAAACGCTCTTTCATAATATGTATAATAATTTACTGTTCATACAGGGGTAGATGATTTTTTTAAATGATTAGCAATTTTCTAGGTGTAAACTTTTTTTGGGGGGAGGGGGCCCAACCCCCCCCCCCCCTCCCTCAAGAAAGAGGTTGAGTAGTGCGCATTTGCAGCTTTTTACTGTTCTGCATGGGAGGAGAGTCACATGATCAGAAACCAAAATCATTCACCTACGTTCTGAGAGCGTGCATTTACACTAGTGGAATTTCTGCTGGTGTTTCAAAAAACCTTACCCCAGGTGGGTTTTTCAACAAAAATTTTTTTTCTTTGTGTTTACCGGGTAGTTGCATGCCTAGCAACTTCTGACAAAACACCGGAATGTTAGAAAAAATCAATGATTTCTGCTTCCAGTGTGAATGCTGCTCTTTTCACTCCATTTGTGTCATCAACATCTCATTGAATATGCTGATAAGACAGGTTTCTTGATCCGCAGAACTTCATTTATAATGCATTTCAAGTTATGTGCGTCATGTTTAGAATTTAGCAATTACTGCCCGGATTTGCTTTCCTGATATTACGTACCAAAAGGAAGATTAGGATGTCACCTTGAGATATGTTACCCTATTTCCATTGATGGCTCCAAGAAAAGTCAACTTACCATCACCAGAACTATTTTGAAACGATCTTTAAAGTTTTCAAGTTTCAAATTTTTATTGTTCCACATTTTACAAAAAATGTAGACATACATATAAAATAAAAAATTATACAATACAATTGTAGTATAAATGGGCACGTCTCAATAATTCTCAATTCATATAATAGATTAAGTAGAATGTGAGGAACCTATTAAAAAGCAGCACTTGGATATTATAGGTTCCTGGAAAAATAAGTAATGTAGATGAAAAAACCGTAGCAGTAGAGAAAGACGTAATTTAGAGGGGAGAATTTAAAACACACAGGAATAAAGAAATTTGTATACAGAATAATGCATTAGCACCAAAACCCAGAGTCACCCGGCTAAAGTATGATTATTCAAGGCAGTCTGCAGAGTCCTAGATGCTAACTCATTTTGAAGGGTGTATTACTTGAGTATACAGTACATGTACAGTGTATATGGTATAGCTTGAATATCCCATTAAAGGTAAAGACCAGTAAGCTCTCATTACCAATCATGTGAAAGAATATGTTTTGACTAATACATGATGATAAAAAATTTGCCGGGAAACCGCCTAATAATTTATATATTTGGAAAATTTGTTTCTCTCATGGTCTGTGAGAGATATAGGGTAGTCCCATATACATCTTTCTGTGTATAGTGCTTGTAACTTTACCAAGACTGGGTCAAATTTCTTATCATTTTGATGATTCCAGAACCATGCAGTACACACCAATATGCTAGATGATCAACCTTTTCGGATCGATTCCACAACATTTCTTTCACAATACAATCACGTGACCAGAACTGGTCTTTACCTTTAAAATTCCAAGCATCAAAGGCAATATAGGGTAGTCCTGAAACAAAAATGGAATGAATGCTTGCAGGAATTTATGCTTTTTCTCCTCATGCATCTTGCATATTGTAAGGGCCCTGAATTAAAAGTTATTGAGCCAAACCACAACATGTGGAATGATTGTTGTGAAAAAGTTAATTCTACAAGAACAAGAGAATTTCAACAGCCAACAGGTTAAATATTATTGCAATCTTCTAGGGAAATGGTTTACATACATGTATACATATAATGGTGTCATACCCCCAAATATGAAGTATCCTTTGAAATGTCTTTACCTTGTTGAAGACTGAAACCAAGAATATTTATACAATATTGAGTTGTGTTGAGTGGGATACAAGGGTATGTCCCACAAGCTGATGAGCTTATTTCAAAAGTTTTTATCTTGATTTTTTTTCTTCTTTTTTCTGAATGTTTCTTGCCATCTTCCCTCATCTGTAATAATGAAGACCCCCTTTGTCTGTTTCTTCCCCCTTCATCTCTCTCTCTCTCTCTCTCTGTCTCTCTCTCTTTTGTCCCCCTTCTCTCTCTCTCTCTCTCTCTCTCTCTTTATTTCTTTCTCTTTCTCTCTTTCCCCATCACTCTAAATCTCCCTCTCCTACACCTCTCCCTTTCTCTTTCTTATGCGATATTTTGTGTTATTTGAATTTAAATTGCAATTGTATTGTATCTTTGGAACATGGATTGCAATTCAGTCGTTGGCTGCGATGATCTTTTTAATAAACCATTTCTAAACCTTTTCTAAGTCGGCAAGATGAGTGCAATATTCTCATGGTAAGTGCTATATACTGTAACGATCCGCTCCACGGTCGTGACGTAACAAAGAGGCCTAACTTAAATGATTGTTGTTTTCAAGCGCGTCATCATACACCGACGCACAATGTTTACGTTAATAATTTGCATACGAGTGATTGACATTCGGATATTTTATTGAGATGCTTAAAGATGTAAAAATTGTTTATCAATATATCACATGAATTTGGATGGAAAGTTGTTTAGACAATGTGACTTGTTAATATTTACTGCAAATGATATGTCATTCAGAGTGTTATATTTAATTAATGGTAAAATAAGAGATTTACTTAGATATTTTGCTCTGAACTAGCACAGTCTTCATGTTAAGTCCATTTTCGCTGCGCGCGTACTTTCCAAGATCGCTTAGCGCATCGATTTCCCCCACGTCCGCATTATGCCTTTATAACCTGTAACATTTCTAAAACGCGAGAGTTGGAATTGGACGCTCATCGGAATCAGAACTATTAGTCTCTCCCTGGAAATCCCCCCCCCCCCCCACCTAAGGACTTGTCTTGGAATTGGGCGCTCGTCGGAACTGGTACCACACATAAGATCTCTCTCCCTTCCTGGAATATAAAGGTACACAAGGAAGTCTACGCTGGAATTAAGATGCTGGAATTAATGAACCACTATTATTAAGATGCAGGAATATTCTAAGTCCACCTCTCCCCCTATGATGCTATGGAATTAAACTAAGACGGAAAACTCCCAAGTCCCATAAATCCCAATGAATCATTGCCCTTCACTTTTTACATGTATTCGTATATAATAACGACAATCGTATAAATTTATTAAGTATAACTATGAGCACAAGGTATTTGTGACAGTGGTGATATAAAGATGTAAATATTTGAAGTACATGCATTAATAAAAGTTGACCATTTTCTTTTGTCTTGAAACTGAAATTATGAGTCTATAAACACTTGTCTTTCTTCTTGACTGGTACTCCTTCATAGTCGTATATTTCGACGAAACGAACGTAAATAAGTATTGTAGCTTCCCCCGTCTTTCCTCAAATAAAAGATAAGATCTAATTACTCTAACCGCTTGGACATACATTATAAATAATGTCGGCTGACGAATATCCTGACAGATATAAAGAATCAGTTTCCCCAGCTGGGAATGAGAATAATCCCGACGTAGAGGTCGAGGTTGGAGACGGAGGCGGGGGCGGCCGCCACAATACCCTTGTGTCCCACAAAAAAAGCTAATATCTATTATCATTACATCCTTAAGTTTTTGTTTTAACCTGCACATTAAACACAAAGAGAAATAGATCTTTTACGTCCGTACCCAAGTCTTTTGCAAAGACTGTGCGCATACTGTACATGTACATCAATCGTCTTAGTCTGTGCATATTTTCACCTTCATACACGTTTGCGCACCTCAAACCTCGAGATATTGAAAATTTACCTCACGGTCATTCAGGTACTTTTGCTTTAAAGGCATCGTTTAACAATGTTAAATCTGAGATGCACGACCCTACCTGTTAGTGCGGTATGGTATGTAAACCCGTAGGATTTTTTTGCCAAAATTGCTGTTTTGGCTTCAAAAGGGTTCCAATTGGCCCAAAATGAAGCGGTTCAAATTTTCAGACCCCTCCTTCATTTCCTGGGGGGTCCATATTGGGCACCAAAATGGCTTATATAAAGCGCAATAGGGAAATTTGGTGTCTTCTGGAAAATTGAACCCCATCAATTTCTGATAGCTTGGACCCCAATGAATCCAAAAATGCAAAAATGCCAACAAAAAAAAAAAAAATTGGCACAAAAGTCCTACAGGAGCTGTTTCAGTGACATACCATACCACACTATGTTATCAGTGTCTGTGATATAGTGTAATATTGAAGCCCTAAAACAATCGCGCTTCAACATAATCAAGAAGTGCCTCAAAAAAGTAAAAATCTTTGAGTGACTGGTTTTACCATACTCATTTTGCCCAATAGACTATAGTGTTATGAAAACCGTTTAATAGGAAAACAACAAATTTGGTTTCGATTTCCAATCATAAATATCTTGATAATCAGACAGGCGATCGGCTTGTAAAAGTCATGGGGTTCCTGACTGCCCTAAAGGTTTATAATTATCATTGCAGCATGAGCTAAATTTCAGAATCTGAGACAAAGTTACCGGATCCCTTTAAGTGCAAGTTATGCCGATCTTCCTGGTTTAGCTCAAAACCCTTCATACAAACAAAATAACAAGTAATTAACAAGCACATACCGGTATAGATCAGAGCGATACTGAACATCACCTTCTTTTCCCTTCTTTTCACAGATCCCAAATTTAGTAGATCAGGACAGAGTACAGTCATGATGTGCAGTCATGAGAAAGCAAATGGTGTGCAGCTGCAGAATGACTGGATCACATTAAATGTTGGTGGTAGACACTTCATGACAAATAGGTAAGAAATAATGAAGATGTATAGGTGCTATTAAGAATGAAGATGATACTGACAATACTTTAAATTTATTTTGCTAAAGTCATCATCAATTGATTCTGTGTTTGATATACAAGTAGTAATGGAGGTAGTGGACGGGAAAAAAGGATGGGAAGGAGAAGGGGGTTACTGTTAGGGATAGGGGAGAGTTGAATATGAAGAATAGGAGGAGCAGGAGGGGTATTTGGAGGAAAGAGCAGGGAAATAAAGAAGAAGAAGAAGGAGGAGGAGGAGGAGGAGGAGGAGGAGGAGGAGGAGGAGGAGGAGGAGGAGGAGGAGGAGGAGGAGGAGGAGGAGGAGGAGGAGGAGGAGGAGGAGGAGGAGGAGGAGGAGGAGGAGGAGGAGGAGGAGGAGGAGGAGGAGGAGGAGGAGGAGGAGGAGGAGGAGGAGGAGGAGGAGGAGGAGGAGGAGGAGGAGGAGGAGGAAAAGAAATAGAAAGAGGACAAAAGAAGGAAATGGAAGGATGTACCTATATAGGTATTTTCAGTGTACAGGGAGGATAAAATGAAATAGAATAGAATCATGGAGCAAAAATATATAGTTAAATAACTGGGGAAATAAATTGGTGGAAAAAATATTCTTAGAATCTGTGCTATTTTCCTCTTCAACCTGTATATATTACTGTTTACATTACAAGCTTTTATACTCTATATTTTCGTTTCAATCCCAATTTTCTTTTTCAGGAGGACGTTGGTCGGAAGAGATTCAGAAAGTATGCTGGCAAGAATGTTTGCTGATGATGGTGAGAAAAAAGTTATTTTTATCATCATGTATTAGTCAAAACATATTCTTTCACATGATTGGTAACACCAGCTTCCATTTCATTTTTTGAAAGGGGGGCGTTTCCAAAACTGGTCTACACATTTAAAGCCTGGCTGCACTAGTTTGGCCTGGAGGCATTATTAGACCTCCCTGCCTGGTCACTGACAGGTGGTTATCTCATCAAATCTGCTCTCAATTAACATTAGAAAAAGGGGACCATGGGGGATCAATGGGTACCGCTTAGGCATTGTTTACTATGTATAGAGGGCCCAAGTAGCTACAAGTAGTGCAGTACCGCTTTAAAGGCAATATCCTGAACTATGAAGCCTGGAGGTCACCCTGCATCATTTAGGTCGATTTACTTGAACAGTGTATTGTACATATCACATCAAAATTATCAACGTACCGTACATAAAAGGATAACTTCCCACAGTTACTAGTGTTGAATTATATTTACATTAATTACCATCATCATCACAATATATACAGAGATAAAAGATGGAATATCATAACAGATTACAATATCAAAATGACACATAAATTGACATAATAACATTCAGAATTTAAATAAAATATGAAAGTATAAACTATAGTACAAACAAAAAATGGTTCATCCGTAAAAGTCAATAAGGCCTGACAATTGAATGCACCAGGTACACAAGTAGTAATAACATAGGATGTCAAAAAAAAAAAAAAAAAATCAACAAAAAACAAAATTTGTTGTGATTTAGTAACCATGAAGAATAATCTGATTTTGGGGGAGACAGAAAACAAACATAAATTGTTGGGGAAAATGTAATTATTATTATCATGGTTATGTATAGTAATGTAAATTTGGGGCTGGTTTTCATTAAAGGGGAAGTCCACCCTGAAATTAAGTTAGTTTTAATAGGAGTAGAAAAATGAGAGAAACAAGTCAGTGAAAGTTTGAGCAAATTACGATTAAAAAAAAGGAAGTTAGGATTTTTGAAGTTGTGATCAATCAAACACAAATTGGCAACTCTATGACGTATCATGCGAGCTCAACTTCCATTTGCTCAGTACTAAAAAAATCTAAAATTTTCATTTTCCCTCAAGAAAAATTTCAACCATACATTTGTACATGCTCCCTAAATATAATAATTGCAAATATGTTTCTATACTCCCCCTGCAAGGAACAAATATATTTTCCGTCATCAATAACGAAGAAAACATGATTTTATGGAATATTATGCACAAAGCAAATGAAGGAGAGCTCGTATAATAAGTCACAGAGTTGCCAATTTGTATTTGATTGATCACAACTTCGATAATTCATAACTTTCTTATTTTCATTCAGAATTTGCTCAAACTTTCATTCAACTGATTTTCTTATTATTCTGCCTCTATCAAAACAAACTTATTTTGGGGGTGGACTTTCCCTTTAACTTGCTCTAGATAAAGAAGCTAGTTAGCAGCACATTAAAATGATGTGATGTAATGGACATAAATTTCCTTCTCTTCAAATATCAAATAGACGTTTGCATTTGTTACATATTGATCATAATGATGTTTTTTTGTTAAGGTACCAGCTCTCGATCGTGCAAGCCCTCTGTTGGTGAATTAAGAACAGGTCTTGACTGCAATCTCACTCCCTACCAGCATTTTGTTTGAAACTACACTGTACATGAAAACACATATGCGGTTCAATGTTAAATATCAAAATAAGAAGCAATAGTAGTCGCCGCCATCATTATATCGAAGTGAACCGGCGCTATATAAATTGATGTTATTATTATTATTTATTAGCAAAAGCTGAAGGTTATCACTTGCAGTAGCCGCCATCATTTTATCAAAGTGAACATACGCTATATAAATTGATGTTATTATTATTATTTATTAGCAAAAGCTGAAGGTTATCACTTGTAGTAGCCGCCATCATTTTATCAAAGTGAACATACGCTATATAAATTGATGTTATTATTATTATTTATTAGCAAAAGCTGAAGGTTATCACTTGTAGTAGCCGCCATCATTTTATCAAAGTGAACATGAGCTATATTAATTGATTTTTGTATTATTATGTATTAGCAAAGGCTGAAGGTTAAAGGTAAAGACCAGTATTGGAAACGCCCCAATTTCAAAAAATGAAATGGAAGCTCTCATTACCAATCATGTGAAAGAATATGTTTTGACTAATACATGATGATAAAAAATTTGCCGGGAAACCGCCTACTAATTCATATATTTGGTAAATTTGTTTCTCTCATGGTCTGTGAGAGATATAGGGTAGTCCCATATACATCTTTCTGTGTATAGTGCTTGTAACTTTACGAAGAATGGGCCAAATTTCTTATCATTTTGATGATTCCAGAACCTTGCAGATGCTAGATGCTAGATGCTAGATGATCAACCTTTTCTGATCGATTCCACAACGTTTCTTTCACAATGCAATCGCATGACCATAACTGGTCTTTACCTTTAAAAATAATAGTAGTCGCCATCATTATATCAAAGTGAACCTGCGCTATATAAATTGATGTTATTATTATTATTTATTAGCAAAAGCTGAAGGTTATGATTTGTGATAAATTAGCAAAATACTTTGAAGGATTGATGATTGTTTTACAAGGTTTGTCAACAACCATGACTTTATTTTGTTGGCTCAATTGTGATCGCAATACATTTTTATGGTGGTTTTCTACAGATAGAGGGAATAACAGTCTTTACAGAATGAGAATAAAATCGTTAAGCAGCTCAAGGAGCAGACCAAAGTGTTGACAAAAGTCAGACAGGATTCGAATCACCTTGTTTACTAGATTAAATTTGATTAATGTGATTTATGAGTTGGCTGGAGTTGATCCGTAAACTGCCAGAGAATAATGCAGTAACACCTGGGCCTTGTTTCATAAAACTTGAAATCAATAACAAGTTACAAGCTACTGTTATAAGCTATTGAAATCATGGCATCTGATTGGCTGAGAGCAAATTTGTCATAGAATTTGGCAGATGTTATAGATAACCAGCTTTATGAAACGGGCCCCTGGTGCTGTTAGAAATGTATAGTTGCTTTTTTTTTTAATCGATTAGTGTTATTCAAAGATTAGTGTTATTCAACATCATCTGAGTTGATTAGATTATTCAGGATTCTCCTTACAGGGACTGCTGGTGTGACCAGCTGTCAACAATCATTTATCAATACCTGAACCAGCTTTTGTTCACAATTGCACAAAATATACAAAAGGAGAAAAGATAGAGGACTTTGCCCTTGTTTTTTACTTCTGGATATATATGTATATAATGGTTTATTTATTCAAAAATCACATTGCAGCCCAAAGGCTGAATTGCACGATTTTTTTTACAAATCTTTGACATAAAAACAGATTATAATGAACATTGTAAAAAGCATTACACAAAATAATAACTGCATACAAAATTAGTAACGCAATAATATTCAACTAATATTCTTTTACATTTTAAACGGAAATAGCTAGGATTATCAGATGGTATAAAGGCACATAGATTAATAGATGATCAGATTGAGAGAGGGAGAGAGAAAATCAAGAAGGGAGAGAAAAAAGGTGGGAGTCAGAGAGGAAGAACTAGTGTTGGAGGAAAAAATACCATAAGGTAAAAACTAAGAATCAGGAGTAACGAAAGCCAGAAATAAGGCTCTAGGTATGTGTTTTTGAATGCTTCATCGTCAGATGAGAGAGCAAACCAGGTACAAGGAATACATGATATATTGATATGTGAATATTGTTAAATTAAAATACAATTCATCATTTAAAAAGGTTGTATGCTTGAAATAATACTTAAAAGTGAAATTAGATAAATGTGCTCAAAGATTGACCACTAAAAAGTTTGTTCAGATAAGTTTTTACTATGTGTGTAATCGAATGGCAACTGCATGAATTTCATTTTTAGATTTTTTAGAATTTGGCATTCATAGATGACCAGTTGGGAACAAAAGCCCATTTACAAAAATTACACTCTCTTATGGTGAAGAAAGAGGAGTGCTCTGCATAACAATACCAGCACTTACCAGTTCAGTTTTTGCAAATTTTCACTTTTTATCGTGCCCCTAATTCTGATGTACCGCTCACTTTATGGCTGCAAAATAAAAAAAAAATATATTATCATTTTAAATAGGAATAAACACTGCTTCTAATGATAATAATCAAAGCGAAGATTATGCTATGTTACTAAAGAGATCTACAATCGATCCAACTTAAGTTTCCAAACTCTTTTTGAGGGGTTTATTTAACAATATGGTCATAATCGTCGTTTCTAATTTTTAACCTCCTCAGATTTACCATGGAGCAGTTCAGTTGATCACACCGGTGCCTATCTCATAGACAGAAGTCCAGTCTATTTTGAACCGCTCCTCAATTATTTACGACATGGTCAGCTGATCATGGATGATGGTCTTAATCCTTCCGGTATGTAACCCTTCGGCCCCTTTCAGACCCCCCCCCCCCCCCTCAAACAAAAAAAGGAGACTTCCAGACTAACACTTCAAGAAAAAGACACATTCAGAATATTACAAATTCAGAATAAAAAACCTCCAGAATAGTAAGCTGTAATGTTTATGATAAAAATAAACCAATAAGGAAAATAAATCTTGTTGACACCTTACTACCTAAATTCTGACCACTCCAGCATAATAAAATATAGATGAGAAATCACCCCACATTTGTAGCCAGGATTATAAATTATTTCAACTTCTATGTCAACTGTTAAATAGTCCTTGAATATAATGAGCAATTTTGATTGAACTTAATTGGTAACAGTATTTATTAAGATTCATTTGGCAGCAGGAGCACTGAAATACCTGGAATGCACAAATTAAAATCATACAAATAAAAGACAATGATGAAAAATATTATAACTCACATTTATATTTACAAAAACAATTTTGATAAAAATTTTCAATGTCTACCTTTAAGACAATGACCAATATTTTTTTGAATGATACCTGGTATGCTTTGATTAATGTTGACAAGCCGTACTTCAGGTGAACACCTGAAACAACATTAAAGGGATCGTTTACCAATGTTAAATCTGAGATGCGTGGTCCTCATGTTATCAGTGTCTGTGATAGGGTGTAATATTGAAGCCCTTAAAAAAAAATTGCGCTTCAAAATGACCAGGAAGTGCCTCAAAAAAGTACAAATCTTTGAGTGACCGATTTTACCATGCTCATTTTTCCCAATAGACTTTAGTATTATGAAAACTGTTAGGAAAACGCAGAATTTGATTTCGATTTCAAATCATAAATATCTTGATTATCAGACAGGCGATCGTCTTGTAAAGGTCATGGGATTCCTGAATGGCCTAAAGGTTTATAATTATCATTGCAGCATGAACTAAATCCAGGATTTTGTTTCAGAATCTGAGACAAAGTTACCCAATCCCTTTAAGACAATGACCAAAATTGACAAAGAATATTGAATGATACCTCTTATGCTTTGATTAATGGTTACAAGCCGCACTTCAGATGTACACCTGAAACAACATTAATACTCTTTTCACACTGGTTTTGCTTAACCCCGTACTTTGCTTAGCCCCGTACTATCCTTAACCCCGGACTATTTTTTTTGGCTTTTCACACTCGCTGTTTTTAGTCCCGTACTAGCGCCTATTCTGGAATAAGAAAACTCCAGCTGTTCTCACTGCATTTCGTTAACCCCGGATATCGTGAATGTTATTATTGGACATACTTCGCATCTGGCCAGCTGCGATACGCTCCATTGCGTAGTACCGGACTATTTTTCGTTTCTGTTCTCATTCATTTGCTTAGCACCGCAATTGCGGGGTTAGCAGGAGTTAGCACCACAATTGCGGAGTTAGCCCTGCTATTTTGCAGGGTTAGTTAACCCCGTACTATAGGTGGGGTTAGCCAACTTTAGCCCACTTTGGTAAAAACCAGTCTGAACAGAAAGTGGAATAGGCTTAACCCCGTACTATAGGTGGGGCTAAGACCCCCCCTTAACCCCACCTATAGTACGGGGTTAAGCAAAATATTGCCAGTGTGAAAACAGTATCAGATGTCACTGCAGTAACCTCCTCCATCTGTTTCCTTTCCGTTGCCAGGTGTACTTGAAGAGGCAAAGTTCTTTGGTATACAGTCTTTGATCAAGCCTTTAGAGGAAATGATACAGAACCGGGAGCCTCCGGGGGACCACACTCCTATGAAACGCTGGGAGTTTATCAGAATGCTGCAGTGTGCTCCGTCCAAGTACGACCTCCGATGCCAGGTAAGAGTGTATTGAAGAAAAAATGGTTCCAATAGTAATGATGATGATAATAGTAATGATGATGATGATGATAATAATAATAATAATAATGATAAGAATAATAATAATAATAATAATCGAATCCAGTTGAATGTAGGGTGGAGGGGTTTACATTTTTCTTGATTCTTTGATTTACCTCCATACTTTCAAGTTTTCAATTATATATGCATACGTGCCAACCCTTATGAATAATCCATATTATTCTGTTTTTCTGGATTTCTAGGACCTGAAAATCCGGAATATTCTGATATTTCAAAATTCTGATTTCTGGTTGCATGATCAAGTAGCGAATTTGTATTCGCTTTTTGGTACAGATGTACTGCGTATTGTCAGTTACACTGCCGCTGCAAGTGCGATTTCTTATTTTGATGCTAAAAATCCGTAATTCTTATTTTCAAAGGTTCGCAGGTATGTATATATTTTGTTTGTTATGTATTTCAGTTGTCACCTTTTTTGTAAATCAATTATAATATATAGTATTATTATTGATTTAATCTTTTGTTTTGATTTTCAATAAATTCAGAAACATCTGCTTTAAAAAAATATATATATCTATCAATTGCTTTTAATCCTAATATTTCACACAGGTCTGTTTTTGTTTTCTTATTACAGGGTATGAACTTTGAAGGTGCAGACCTATCTAAGCTAGACCTGAAGTACATCAATTTCACCATGAGCAACCTGTCTTCCGCTAACCTGTCTGGGGCTAACCTGTCCTACTGCACCCTAGAGAGGGCCAATCTGTCCGGAGCCAAGCTTGACGTAAGTACAGGAGGGCGCTTCACAATAATATCGTCATCAGTGACAAATGACAGTTTTTGTTATAAGCTACTGAAATCCTTGCTTCTGATTGGTTATCAGCAGATTTGTCATTGAAAAAGGCTTTGTGAAACAGGCCCCAGGTTTCAGTTGTGCCATAATGAAGGCATGATGGCTTAGAGGTAGAGCAGTGGTCTTGTACCTGGGTAGTCCCTGGTGCACTTGTGCTTTTCTGTAAGGCATTAAAGCCCCACTGCACTACCTATAGCTACTTGCGCCCTCTATACAGCCAACAATGTCTAAGCGGTGCCTGTTGATCCCCCATGATGCCCATTTTTATGTTAATTGAGAGCTGATTTGATGAGATAGTCACCTGCCAGTGACCTTGAAGGGAGGTCTAATCCCTCCAGGCCAAATTAATGCAGATGGGCTTTAAAGACTCTGTTGGGAGTGAAACATGAAATAGATTAACTATATATCAACAGAAAGCATGTAAGCCATTACAATAACTGAAATCATAAGCCATTTTTGTGTCTTTCAGAGGAGTAACAGCCCTCTGAGAACTCAAAATCTAAACCTTTGAATATGGGAAATTGTCAACCTAAAACCTAGCTATCCACTTGACGATATCATCTCATGTGGAGTACTATCGCAGCCATCGGGGGATGGAAGAACTTAATATAATTAAATTTAATTTAGGAACTGTACATTAATCTTGATCTGAGGAGACACGATCGAACGATGTGGAGTACACATGTTCACAATTCTATGTTCATTCAGCTTTCCATTGATATAAAGTTAAACTTAAATAGGATAGGGTCTTTAATCATCATTTCCACATTCCTTAGATGGGACTTTAACCCACATATCCCCATGTTTGCTTACCTATGCAGGTGAAATAAATCATCTAGTCACCAGATCAAGAATAAATTAAAGAAATAAATGGATTAAGTCATTTAAAGGAGGTCAATATTTTTCATTTCCATTTTTTTATTAGCCAAATGTGTTGAAGCCGATAGTCCAAAGAAAAGTCTGAATTATTTTTGCATTCATTCTGTATTTCCCCCATGAACATTTGATAAAATGTATTGCCTGTGTGTTTTGTTGCTAGAGGCTAATTTGAGAAGATTAAAAATGCTTCTTGCTATTATACAATACCAGTTAGAATATGAACAACTGTAAGAGGGCAAAGTCAGAGGTCCAGTTTGTCTAACAACTCATTTATGCAAGATTTAATGAGTTTACTTCTGTAAGTCATGTATTCAAACCTCTTAAAGGGATCGTTTAACAATGTTAAATATGAGATACATGGCCCTACATGTTATCAGTGTCTGTGATATGGTGTAATATTGAAGCCCTAAAAAAATTGCGCTTCAAAATGATCAAGAAGTGCGTCAAAAAAGTAAAAATCTTTGAGTGACCGGTTTTACCATACTCGTTTTCCCCAATAGACTGTAGTGTTATGAAAACCGTCAGGCGAATGGTTTTCAAAATTTGTAATTCCACTCATTAATATCTTGATAATCAGACAGGCGATCGGCTTGTAAAATTCATGGGGTTCCTGACTGACCTAAGGTTACTAATTATCATTGCATCATGAGCTTAATCCAGAATTTTGTTTCAGAATTTGAGACAAAGTTACCGGATCCCTTTAAAGCTAATCTTGAGCTCTGATATGGGAATCGTTTGTCGAGAGAACGTGGCTATAATTCATTTTGGATTGTTTACCCTACAGTAGATTGGTAGTTTGAACCAGTGGAATGAACACAAACTCACAAAAACTTGCTGGAAATTATCTTCAATAAAAACCACAACTCTCATTTGCACATATTTGTTACTGTTGTGTGCAGACTTGTACACCTATTAATGGTATTTCCACCAAGTCTGATGTCATCAAATTATGGCCTTTTACACATGGAACCTAACAACCCTTGATCTCCCTTTAAAACTTATGCAAGATTTAAAATGTCTGTCTATATGTTAATCAGCATTCAAATCTGTCATGTATTCACAGCTGTCATACTTGTGTTTTGTGTTGCTAGGGAGCTAACTTGAGAGGGGTGAAGATGGTTCTTGCAAACCTGGAAAATGCTTCGCTCAGAGGATGCAACTTTGAAGATCCAGCGGGCACAAAGGCTAATATGGAAGGTAAGAGTTGTGGTGTGATGCTGATGGATGACTGAATTGAAAGAAAGAGAGAAGAAAAGGCAGAATGATGGACTAATGATGGAAGGTGATGAGAGAGAGAAAGAGACAGGAATAGAGAACAGAAAAAGGAAGAGAAAGGAAAAGAGAGAGAGAGAGAGAGATAAAATGAGGAATATGTCGAAGAGGGAGAGAGAGAGAGAGAGAGAGAAAGAGAGAGGGGGAACGAGAGAGAGAGGTGAGAGCTAGAGAGAGGGAGAGAGATAGAGAGAAGGAAATGGAAAAGAAGAAGATGTAGAAGAAGAAGAAGAAGAAGAAGAAGAAGAAGAAGAAGAAGAAGGAGAAGGAGAAGGAGGAGAAGGAGAAGGAGAAGGGGAAGGGGATGGAGAAGGAGGAGGAAGAGAAGAAGACACTATTATTGTAAGCGCTGTGATATAGTGTACTATGAATAGCGTAGCTAAATGCCTAATAATGATAAGAGGAGACAGAAATAAATAAAGAGGAAGAGACATTTTTTCTGAATATAATTGCAAATTGGTATAAATATAAGGGATCAGTTAACAGCAGATGTAATAACGATGGATAAAAGCGATTCAAAGAAACCACAGAATACTTTACAAATTATCTTTGAATCCCCCGTGTATGAAACATTATGTTTTGAACTGCAAATCCCTCATTACATGGACCAAATCTCTTTCCCTGCTTTTCAAGCTTCTCGGGACAAAAATATCTGAAAAAAACATTTGCGCGTTAGGATTTGGTCATCATAGTGGGATAATGAATGTGGGAAAGCTCCATTGTATAAATTAGTGAAAAGGGGGATGAACAGAAGGAGAAAGACATAGGAGAGCAAGGGTGAATGACAGGCTGAGAGAGAGAGAGAGAGAGAGAGAGAGAGAGAGAGAGAGAGAGAGAAAGAAAGAAAAAGAGAAGGAGAAAGAGAGAGAGGAAGAAAGTGAATGGAATGAGAAAAGGGCAGAAATAGATAATAAAGTATTAAGGAGATACTTAGAGGGGATTAAGGGAGTGGAGAATGCCTGAATCCGATGACAGGGGTAATAATATATATATCTGTAAAGCGCTTTGTGAGGGCCTTCAGTTTTGAAAAGCGCTGTATAAGAACTAGCTATTATTATTATTCAGGAAGAAGGACAGAGACGGAGAAAGAACAGGAGAGAGAGAAAGGAAGAGAGAGGAAAAGAGATAGAGAAACAAAGAAAGTGAGAGAAAGAGAAGGAGCAGGAAACTAGAAATAGAACTCCGACTAGAACTATTCAAACTAGTGAGAAGAGCAAGAATTAGAACCAGAACTAGAAATAAAAATAAAAGGAGAAAGGGAATGGAATGAGAGAAACAAAGAGAAATAAAAAGTGATTGTGAAAGTGGAAAAGAGAGATGAAAGAAAGAGATCTACATGTACCTATTGAAAATGGAGCTATTATATACCAGTATAAAGTATGTGTATCAATCAAACAGCTATATTCATCTCCTTTATCAGAAAACAAATATAATGGATTTTGGGGGGAAATACACCTGACAGCTCCACAATTTTGTTTAAAAGATAATAATGACCTTAGCAAATGATATCCCCGACCCCCAGAAAAAACAGGAACAAAAATTTAAAAAAAGAAAAAAAGAAATAGGATTCCCTTGTCTTTTGAAGCAAGTGTGGCCTTCAACACCAAAATATATCCTGGACCAGTGAGAGTGAATTTATATTTTAAAAACATCCTGCATATTGTATTATCCTGCTGTATCCTTTATAGAATTTTGTTATGCTGCAAATTTCTTCTGAGCATCCTTAAATTGTTGCTGGTACTTGCAAGTATTTTCATATAATTACATCAGCGATATCCTTAAGATGGTTCCAAGAATATTGGTATGCCTCCATCCTTAAAAAGAAAATATAAAGATACATACCGGGTAGTCAGTTTGTCAAAATGTTTCTGAATATATGTCAAAATTGACATACCGGGTATCACCATCCCGGTAGTGTACCGGTAAATAAAAATAGAAATACACTAGATGATCTACATGAACATAACAAGAGTATATTTTATTTTTTAATTGTAAACAGGATGACTGGAAATAGTAAAGAATGTGATGAAGTCTTATTTAGATGCTAATTTTGACATGAATTAAAAAATATATACATATATTCATGTAATGCATTTGCAATCTCTACTTCAACTCTTTAAAATGTTGATATCTAAAGAAACAAGTTGCTCACAAAACTTCAAGCCCTTCCGCCCACCATTTGCATGGGAGCTCTGTAAACAAAGTTTCAGATTACAAGCAAAGTTAATGACTGCCTTCAAGGCATGATCTCTGTTCAGGAAAACATGAGGCGGGTCATAGAAATACGGTCAAGATTGTAGGTACAGTGTAGTTCATTCTTTCTGTGTTACATGTGTACATGCATTTCCAATGTACATAAATTCCTGTTCACCACAGAGAAACGTTAAAAAATATGTTATTTTCTGAGGATGAAATTGTACATGCATATATAGTTTTATGAGATTGTATACAAGTAGTTCATTCTTTCTGTGTTACATCTGTTTGGAACTCCCTTCCAATACACATAAAATCCCGGAGCTGTATTCTGACATTCATTTTATGTCGTCTGAAATCTGAACTTTTATCTCAGAGAGATAGGGTACCCTTTGATAAAATCTTTCTTAAATTGGTAATCTGAGAATCATTTAAGTGAGATTATATCTTGTTATTAGACACACCCATTTGTGATAACCAAATAATAGATGTTATTAAATGCCACCCTCTTCATGGTCAGCCAATAGAATCACATTCTGCCAGTCTCTCAGGCAAGAGAACGTGAATGTGTAATTTTTACCAAAAATACAATTATTATTATTATTATTAAGCATTTGGCATCACCTGTGCCTGGGAGGCCAAAATCAAAATGAATCACTGTAACCCTCGGGTCTCTCCTCGCGGTATAACTAATTGGGGATGTGCAGGTGGACCACTACACTGGGTTTTCCCCCTACTCTTATACAAGTAGTGCCGTGGGTTCTTAAAGTGCAAGGGTGATGACTCTCCTGTACACAGGACCTCTATTTAACGTCCTATCCGAGGGACAGTGTGTTTCCCACTTAACATACCCTGCGTCTATGAAACGGGAGGGGCAGGTTAACACATAACAGGCTTCAGTCATCTGCCTGGGTTGGATTCGAACCCACAATCTTTGGTTCGACAGGCAGACGCTTTACCAACTGAGCCAACTTGCCTCCTCAAAGTTTTATTTTGTTTCCACCTAAAATAAGATTGGCATCCATTAAGTTGCATGCATCATGGCTTCAGGCCTAACTATGATGAACACACAAGAAGTATTAAGAGATTGAGATAAAACAAAAGATAAAAAGTAATCTCAGAATACAAGTTATTTTATAAAGATAAAATAAAATATTTTAGAGTAACCAGGAGGGCCCTTGGTGCTTGACACGCCGGTGCCCTTTGGTAAGGCATTACTCCCCTGACCAAGTCCCTCGGAGAGGACTTCAAAGCTGTCGGTCCCCTAGTAGTTTACTTACAAGAAAACGCATAACGGTCCAGTAAAAACCTACCAATTTGTGTACAACATACACGGATATATACACTGTATACATCTATATATGTACACTGTACATGTAAATTTTAAATTACCATAAGCTTTAAAATTTACAGTTACATGTACATGTACATGCACATGTAAGTCAGTTTAATTCATTTTGTTTTCAAATGTAAGTATTAGGCAGTAAAGATAAAATCCAACCCAGAATAAATACTGAATGTAATCAGCTGGATCGTGGCTAAGAAATACAGCCATGCTATATTATTTGGAGCTCATGGTCTTGGAGTATGAAACTTACACCTGTTAAAGATGAAGTTGAGTTCTGGTCATGCGATTGCATTGTGAAAGAAACGGTGTGGAATCGACCAGAAAAGGTTGATGATCTAGCATATAAGTTTTGGTGTGTATTGCAAGGTTCTGGAATCATCAAAATGATAAGAAATTTGGCCAAGTCTTGGTAAAGTTACAAACACTGTACACAGAAAGATGTATATGTACTACACGGTACTACACGAACACCCCCCCCCCCCCCCCCCCCCCCCCCCGAGTTTTACGATGTTACATGACATATTTAGAATATAAAGGCGTTTGAAGAGCCATGCTTTTCAGGGAGCATGTCTTATCTGATGTTCTTCCACACTTGCATAATAAGAATGATAACGCTCACAAATTATTTTTCACCTCTTCCCAGAACTCAACCTTCTCTTTAAATTCTTTGAAGAAGAAAAAAACTGGATACAAAATATTGCATGTGACTGATGTCAGTGTCCCCTTACAGGACATGGGAATATGAAGGAGATATCTTTCATGTAAAAAAACATGGACATTTCATTTTAAATGCTGCAGGTATGTTATCAATCATTATTTTGGAGCTGTTTACTTTTTTTTTTCTCCATCCAAATATTTTAAAATCGCATATACCTCCAATATGTTCATTTGAACCAAATTCATGACCCCATATCAAATTTTTTAGTATCTTTTAAGACAGAGCACTGAATATGTAACTTATTTCTTGATGATGTAAAGCAATCAGATATTTTCAGTTGAATAACGCTTGCTTTGCCAGTGAAATATATATTAAGACTATTTTTATTGATGTCATAAATCTATTGATAGTTGTCGTTCAAAATTGTCATTAATTCTACCTGTGTATTATCACCCTAATTATTTAAATAGCTCTTTTTAAATAAAGATAAGGGCATATTCTCATTTTTCAAATCTTTATGAAGCAGAATAGAAATTAGATATCATGTTTGTTACCGCCTGTTCTAATGAAAAAGATTTAATATATATATTCATGTTACATTTATTATGCAACATTTCTTTGAAAAGAAAAGAAAAACGATTAAGATCATGTAATGTTATAGCAGTATTTAGACAAAACAACTGCCTGAAGCAGAAAAGAAATTGGATATCTTGTTTTTTAATACAG